CTAAGTAAATTGGGACGATGGTAGTATATTATAATCCATAAATAATTATATTTATAATTAAAAATAATAGTAGTAATAATAGTAATAATACTAATAATAATGATGATGATGATGATGATTATGATGATGATGATTATGATGATGATGATGACGACGATGATGATGATGATGATAATGATAATAATAATAATAAATTAATAATAATAATAATAATGATGATGATGATGATAATAATAATAATAATAAAATATGGTATGGTCTGGTATGATCTGGTCTGGGACGAATTACAGTGCAAGTAAAAACAACCATACCGCCATACCATATTCTACCTCCGTAAATCCGTAACATTCATATCTTCTCATTTAAAAGTAGGTGATATTATGAATAGTGAAAGAGTATAAATTATTCACGGTATGATGATAAGATAATGAAATAGTGTGCTGGAATGAAGGATAAATCCAAAAAATCAGTTGTAATAGTGTATTATTTTCAAATTTATTGAGGGTGTGATGAGGAGATTTAGAAATGGGAATATATAAATGTTACGGTTGAAAAAGGAATGAAAAAATATGAATGTTACGGTTGAAAAAGGATAGTGAAAAAATATGAATGTTACGTTTGAAAAAAGAAAGTGAAAAAATATGAATGTTGCGTGTAATAGAATATTAATTAGGCAGATTTGTTTCCTTGTATGTTTAGAACTCTACTACTATAAATATACATGCCAGGACTCCTATTGAAGTAACCTTTCCCATTATTTCACATGGTATCAGTAGCCCAAAGAAAACCCTAATTTTCTTTTCGATCTAAGTCGCCGCCATGACCTCCGAATTCTCCACCACGGCGCCGCCGACTTCTCCAAATACACCGCCGCCACCGCCGTTCTCCACGGCGGACATCGGCACCTCGGCATCGGACTTCTCCTCCCCCGCTCACCATGCCGTCTCCCAGCCGCAACCCCAGGCGGCGATCTCACGTCCGGTTGGCAGCTTCACCATGCCACCGCCGACGACCGAATATATGGCCGCATATCCGTTCTCACCGTATACTACGCCACTGCCATACTCCCTCTTCAACCCCTTGCCGCCGCAATTCCCATGGCAGCCGAGTCGCCCTCTTCTGCCACCGGCCAGCCCACGCCGCCACCAGCTTCTCCCTATTTTGGCCCTTCGTTCGCTGGTTTTCCAGGAGTTGTCCGACCCCAGAATGACAACCCTCTCTTCGGCACTCCAATGGCAGCCTTGGTGCAGGCTGTTTCTCATGGAATTGCAAACGTCGGCCAGATTGTTACCATCAAACTCAAAGCAGTTGAAGATTATCTTACATGGCGCACTCAATTCGAATCATTCTTGGTGTCACAGGGTCTTTTTGGTATGTTAGATGGCTCTATTCCGGTACCTCCCTTATACACTCTGGATTTTAATAATCATCAAATCGTTAATACTGACTATTATCATTGGCTTCGAGTAGATCAAACAATTCGTTCCTGGTTGTTTGCTACTTTATCTCGTGAAGTATTAACTGATGTTCATGATATTAAACATTCAATGGGTATATGGGAGCGTTTACAGTCACGCTTTATGTCTGCCAGTTTACCTAGAGCTATGGAGCTTAAACGCTTATTATCTAATATCAAAAAGAAATCTAATCAATCCATGGACCACTACTTACGTGATATTAAAAGTCTGGCTGATGCTTTAGCAGCAATTAATTCCCCTGTGACTGAGAAAGAATTATTACAAAGCACACTACAGGGACTTGGCCCTGAATATCAGTTTGTTACGGGCACTATCTCACTGTTTCCTGATAGCTTTCCACCCGACATCCTTCACCCGCGCCTCATGGAGGCTGAGCAGACTGTTTTGCATCAACAACAAGACTATTCTTCCCCTCACCAAGCGTTTGCTGCTCCATTGGGCACTGGGCAGTCGGGTCCTTCAGCGCCACGCGGCCGCGGCAGTCGCGGCAGAGGTGGCAGAGGGCGTGGAGGTCGCGGCAGAGGCGGAAGACACGGGCCGCAGCAGTACTACGCACCACCAGCTTCTACAGTGCATTCCAGCCAGTCCGGGCCGAGACCTGCAGGGGGTGCTCCTGTTCCAAGACCTCCTAATGATGCATCTGGTAAATCTGTTGTGTCCACTTTAAATATTAATGCTAATTATGCTTTGGGTACTCATGGTTCTTCTGCAGGTTTCCCATCTTCGGAGGGTATTCTCGGGTCTGTTCCATCCCCAGTTGTGTGTCAAATTTGTTTTTCTGCAAGTCACTCTGCGATGCATTGTCCGTCTCGTTTTTCACAAACTTCTGCACCTGCGTTGATTACTCCAAATGGCGAATCCAATGATGTTTTGTGGTATCCGGACTCCGGTGCCTCTGCTCACATGACCTCTTCTGAAGGTATTCTGTCAAATAAATTCCCTTACTCAGGCTCCATGACTGTTAGTGTGGCCAATGGCACTAATTTACCTATTGCTAATATTGGAAATATTACTTTAAATACTTTCAGTCGCCCCTTGTCATTGAAAAATGTTTTTCATGTGCCTCAAATAAAATTTAATTTAATTTCTATTCAAAAATTATGCGCTGATAACAACTGTGTTGTTGTTTTTGATAAAAACTATTTTTTTGTTAAGGACAAACTTTCGGGGGCAGTTCTTCTTCAGGCGCGACATAATGGTTATCTCTACCCTATCAGTCTTACATCATCTACACCGTTAGCTCTTGCCACAGTCACTTCTCCTGGCCCTGTGTGGCATCGTAGACTAGGACATTGTGGTGAAACTATTTTGCGTTTATTGCATCGTAGAAAACTTATTTCTAGTTCTTCTAATTTTGAACATGATTGTGTTTCCTGTCGTTTGGGTAAATCTCAACGACTACCTTTTTCGGATGCTAGTCATACTTCTTCTTCCCCTTTATAGTTAATTCATTCTGATGTTTGGCAATCACCTGTGTTATCTAATTTAGGCTTTAAATATTATGTGTGTTTTATTGATGATTTTTCTCGATTTACTTGGATATATCCCTTGCGTAATAAAAGTGAAGTTTGTACTCAGTTTTGTCTATTTAAGGTTTTAGTTGAAAATATGTTTCATTCTAAAATTAAAATTTTTCAGAGTGATGGAGGAGGTGAATTTGTTAATAATCATATGCAGCATTTTTTTGACGAACATGGCATTTATTTTCAAAAATCGTGCCCACATACTCCCCAACAAAACGGTGTTGCAGAACGCAAACATCGTCATCTCGTGGAATTTGCTAGAACTATGCTCATTACTGCCTCTATTCCTAGCACATTTTGGATTGATGCTATCTTTACAGCTGCATATCTTATTAATAGACTTCCTACTCCGTCACTTAATGGTGTTTCTCCCTACGATATTCTTTTTCAAAAACCTCCTGACTATAGTTTTTAAGAGTTTTTGGGTGTGCTTGTTACCCCAATTTTTCTGCATCTCCTTCCAATAAACTTTCTCCGCGCTCCATACAATGTGTTTTTCTTGGCTATGCATCTGGTTTTAAAGGCTATCGTTGTTTTAAGCCTCACTCTGGTAAAGTTATTATTAGTAGACATGTTCGCTTCCATGAAAATATTTTCCCTTTTGCCACATTGTCTTCTTCTACGCATGCCTCTTCCTCGTCCTCTATTCCTCTAGCTCCCGACTTCACTCTAACTCATCCCATCTCCAGACCAATGCCTCTTCCCTGCTCGAACAACAATACCGATTATCCCCCCTCACTTTCCCAGCCCTCTGTTCCAGCCATGCTCGAAAATCCCAGCCAGCCATCCCCTTCCCATTCCCCTTCCCCAGCCGCACAATTCCATTCTCCGACCTCACTGCCATCTTCTATACCCAGTAATGAATCTTCACCCTCTTCTTCTTCAACACCGCCTACCCCATCCCAATTCACTGCCTCACCCAACTCTCCCACCACCAGGGCTGTCGTGCCTCCGCCGAATATTGGTCCTGCCCCGATCCTTAATATTCATCCGATGCAAACAAGGGGAAAGTCGGGCATTTTTAAACCGAAATCAATTTTTAATTTAAACACTGTTGTCTTATCAGCTGATCCTTCATGTTTTTCCGAGGCTAATAAACATTTAATTTGGCGAGTGGCAATGGCTGAGGAATTTAATGCTCTTATTTCTAATCAAACATGGGATTTAGTACCTTTTGATCATACTAAAAATGTTGTGGGCTCTAAGTGGATTTATAAGACAAAATATAAATCAGATGGTTCTATTGAGCGCCACAAAGCGCGTTTGGTTGCACAAGGTTTTAACCAACAGGCAGGTGTGAATTTTTCTGAAACTTTTAGTCCAGTTATTAAACCCACCACTGTTCGTATTGTACTTACATTAGCTGTTTCTTTTGGGTGGGTCATTCGTCAATTAGATGTCAAGAATGCCTTTTTACATGGTCACCTCACTGAGGAAGTATATATGCGTCAGCCACGTGGTTTTGTTCATCCTTTATTTCCTAATCACTTGTGCAAATTGCGGAAGGCCATTTATGGCCTTAAGCAAGCCCCACGTGCATGGTTTCATCGTTTTAGCAGCTTCTTATTGTCTCATCATTTTACGTGCAGCAAGTCTGATAACTCTTTATTCATTTACCGCCAGAATACTAATGTCATTTATTTATTATTATATGTTGATGACATAATTATTACTGGTAATTCTTCCGCTGTCATTAACTCCTTCATAATACTTGGTATTGAAATGCTAATACCATCACATGTACTTTAACATTAGTACAAATAGTAATCTGTACAATATTAAATACTAATGACTATTATCATAATACTAAATGAATGTACCAACTTCTTGACAAAGAAGTCAAGTATCAGCCGTTCTGCAATTAGTATTCAGTTCAATACTACACCAATCCACGTAAACCCTTGTGGCGTCACCGTATATGCAAAAAATCAGTGTTAATGCAACTGCATAGTTGGTTTTATGTTAATGATCAATGCAACTTGCAAAAGATCTCGTATAAGTGCAACTTCAAAAGGGTGAGCTCTGTTGCATAAGCCATGACACAACTAGGAAATATATATTATCAAAACAATCAGGGAATTGATTTATCCTCCATTCAGTGGACAACAAAATTTCAATTCACATCAGTATGCAGAGATTTAATACTCAATAACTTCAAATGTTAAATGAGCAACTTGAGTGCAGTCCATACTTTCCTAGTTTTCTACACTACTTGAAGTTAGAACCTAGAAGATCTGCTAGATTTGAATGGCATAAAACTTATTGGGTATATAACTCGAATACACGCATTGGCTGGCTGGGGTAAACCTTGAATGAGAAATTTTGAAGGAAATGCTGAAAACGCCCTCACGGTAAGGGCTTTTTATGTGAAATCCATAGCAATCTCTGAGCTTTTAATTACACCCACCCCCCATAAAAATTCAGCTGGCCGGGCGGTGCTAACTGCATACTGCATTTCACTTATGTACATGGACTTCAAGATGGGCAGCTTTGGCTTTAGATCTCTGCTTCTTGGAATGCAGCGAAGCCAAACCAGTGCCTAATCCAGCCGGGATATGATCAGGTTTCTGTTTGTTATCTTCAACCACTGCATGAGGTGTAGTATTTATGGAGTGCCCATTATTCACTTCTTTATTTGTTAATGTGTTCTCATTGTCCACAGCATTAGAGCCTGGCACAGAAATGCCAGCTGCAGCGGCAGCAGCGTTAGGGTGGAGAAGAAGACGCCTTGCAGCAGCTTTCTTCCTCACTTCTGCAGCTGCCCGGGCAGCTCTTTCATCAACTCTGCCTCTCCCCCCTCCTCTGGGTAGCCCTTCACCAAGTACAGCAGCTGCAGCGGCAGCATTTAGAGATCCATTCCCACTGGCAGCTTGAAGTGCTTGTATTAGACTAGGATTCGCCTGTAAAATTGACTCGCTAGTGTGAAAGCTAAAAAAGCACAATGAAAAAAGGGAAGTCAAAATGTCACGTGATTTCTGTGATTATCAATGGTGGTACCTTCAAGATGTCATAAGCTTTGTTAGCCGAAGCTGCAGCATTTAAAGCTTCACCCCTCTGCTTTTGAGCATTCATCTGCCAAAAATTGCATTTAAGGGCTTGTTTTGCGGGATAAAAATTGGATGGGGTAGGTAATTGTGCTAAAGGTGTCAGAATCATTAAATAGGATAGAGTATCTAAAACTGAAGTTCCTAACAAATAACATGAAATTATAACTCAAATATTAGGGTAGGACAGTGCTTGATTGGTAAAAGATAATAACTGATGAGGTTGATGAAGTTGATACATAGGGAAATAGTGAGAGTGTCAGACATTAAATGAAGGCTGATATAATGTACTCTATGTTCACAAGAGACTTGCAACGTCTACAGAAAAATATATTCGGTTTGTTACCTTCAACCTCTGCAAGTGGTACCGTGGTACAGTATTTATGGTGTTGTATTTCACTTCTTTATTTGTCAATGAGTTCCTAGAGTTCACCACATTAAGGCCCAGCACACACACACATATACATATCATATATATGTACATACATACATACACACACACACATACATACATACATACATACATACATACATACATACATACATGTATATATGTAAGCATATACACACGTGAATAAATATTGATACATATATCTATATATACATGTGTGTATGTATGTATATGTGTCTATATATATGTATAGGGTGCGATTTAAATAAAAAGAGTGCTTAATGTGTGAAATGCGAAAAAATTACTTTTATAGCGCTCAGCTGCACTTTTAGGTTCAGGTAGTGCACTTTTTAACACTGCGGAAAGTGCAGTAGTTCAGCATACAAGTGCGGTATGGATGTATTCAGTTTCACACGTTAAGAACTTTTATTGTTGTTGTTTTGTTGTATTCAAATTCTATATGTATATGTGTGTGTATCATAACTTGATTAGAAGTACAATACCTGCAACTCCCGCATCTTAAATGTTTTCATCCATGTCTGAGAGTCCTTTGTCCTTGAGTCGTCCTCGCCAAGTTGTTTTGCTAATATATCGTATATCTTCTTTTCATGCTGTTGACCAAATGAGTATTTTTCCCACATGTCATTAATTTAATAGTTTTACGAATGGGAATAAAATCTCAAAGTCAAATATAAACAAACCTGGTGGGCCAGCTTAAAAGCACCCATACAATTAAACGCGATTGCAAGCGCATGATAGCACACGGCAGTTTGAATATGATCTTTGCCGAGGAGTCTCTCGTTTTTCTTCAAGGCTTCTTGCAGGTACCGCAGGGCAGTGTCTACCTTTCCGCTGTCTTGGTACATCATAGCAACATTAATAAATGTTGCAGCAACATCAGGATGGTCAGGACCACAAGACAATCCTAGGAGTAGTAAAGCCCTAGACATGTGCCGCAAAGCAAGTTCTGTTTGGTTGAGCCCGTGGTAGAAAAGAGCCATATTTCCATAACTGCACTCACAAATATTATATGACATCAATCATACTGTGTTTAGTACGGAGTATTTCACAGCATTCACGTAAGAATATATACACTACCATATTAGTTTAAAGACTACTGCCCCCCCTAATTTGGGGAGTATGTCCCCCAACGTTAGAAATTTATCATGGTAATTTAATGTAGAAGGGTAATCTTGGGAGAAGGTAGATATGATATCTTGAACGGGTAAAATCATTCATTAAGGACACTATTTGAATAAGTTACTATTTAGGAATGCAGTGGGATAGTTTTCCAATCCCTAAGAGCACTGCTTATTCCTAATTTTAATTCAGAATTTAAAAACTATAAGCCCATTCTCATTTTCATAAGGAGCTCATCATTAAAGAACTTTACAATAAAACACAAAGCTCAGCTTAAGAATAGTAAATAAATTGCAAATACTTTAAGAAATTATCATAGATAGAGATAGAACATATTGCAAGCCACGAATAGGACCACTTTAATTTTTTCCACTTATTAGAACTAATGTGGTCTTATTAAAGATCATATTGTCTGCCTTGTTTACACTCCTATTAAATAAGATAGAAAACTAAGCCTAATCTTATACTCCATCTTTTTTATTATTTGCTTCATACTCCCTCCGTCCCTAAAACTTTGACAACTTTCCTTTTTTGGATGTCCCACTAACTTTGCCATTTTCCCTTTTAAGTAAAGAATTTGTGGTTCCCATTAATTCTCTCTCCTCTGCACAAACATCAACTACACAGTTTTTACTTTATTAATCCCCGTGTCGGTCAAACTTGGCAAAGTTTTAAGGGACAGAGGTAGTATTACCTTTTGGGAAGTTTTTAATTATTTGCCCAACATTTCCAAATTTGCAAGTTTTAGCAAATCAAAGTACATAGATACCCTTACTTTTTCATCTTCCATTTCACACTTTATATACTTTGTCATCTTTCTTCTTCTACCATTCACCACCCTTACAATTTTACTAAAGCAAACCCCAACCATATATCATTCTTCTTCTACCATTCACCACCCCTACAATTTTACTAAAGCAACCCCCAACCATATATCATTCTCTTATATTACAAATGACAAAGAACTATGTAACCTAACCCCAAACATGACCTTAACTATTTTGCTACTATTAAAGGATTTCAGCCTAACATATTCTTCTTCCAGGCCTAATCATCATCTCTAAGGAGAATGATACACTGATCGGGTCCAACCAAACCCAGCTAAGAGTAAACAGGTCACATGAATCAAATACAGTAATAATAAAATAAATGGCATTAAGAAGCAAAGAGCTACCTGTGAGCAGTGTCAGGATGGTCCAGTCCAAGGCAGCGTTCATTAATGATTAGCTCCTTATGCTGCTGCATTATTGCTCCTGCCATATCACCCGCGTGATACATGACCATAGCTAGATATCTGGAATGCAAGTAAATTTGGGAGAAGAATATAGAAAACAGACAAGTATATTGTAAAAGAAATACCGGTGAAGCATATTCTAACCTTTGAAACCATGAACTGTTTTTTGAAGTAAATTAACGAAAATGCCTTTTCTAATAAATAAATGATGGTAAAAAATGTGACGTTTAAATAAATGAGAGGATTAAACAAATAGCAATTACCGACAACAGTTGGCAACTTCCCGGTGCAATGGACCAGTGACCTGCAATTAGAGAAGGAACGCGGACAATTGGAGTTGATCGACAATGACAACGATGACAACAACAACAACAACAACAACAACAATGAAGTATGAGATGCAAGATATCCAATCAAATAACAAACATACCTGCTGAAGTATTGTAAAAGCTTCAGAAAATAATGTGTAGGCCTCGCTAAGCTGCCCCTGAAAATAAATAACTAAGATATTAAGAATACACTTCACAATATATAGATCTTGATCTTTGTTAACATTCTTTTAGATCAATGAACTTCATTTCCTCTCCAAACATGAGAGCCATGCTAAAAATATTTGCTAAATGTTTATACCTCAGCTAACTGAGATTTTCCCGTTTCAACCAGATTCTTGGCTTCTGAACTGATAGGGATAGAATGCTTCACAACTGGCTGAAGATTCAAAATATCAGTTGCTTGAAAAGGTGCAACAGCATCAAGATCATATTTGCGAGCTGCAACGGTTACTCCAACCTGAAAAAGAATACAGCAGTCAGCTGAAGACGAAGTGATAAATAATACGGAGTATTAACCCAAGCAATCTTATCCATTGAAAAGGGTAAAAGATAGAATATACATCAATAAGAAATAAACTTCAACCAAACAGATAATTAAATAGTCAATAGGTACCTTCAGGCAAAGATTACGCAAAGCTGGAATCTTCTTAACCCGTAATCTTGCATCGTCAGGAACTTCGAACTAAAAAATAAACAAATAGGACCTTAGTATACAACTTAAACAGATGAATGCAATTGATAAATATTTGCATAAATTTTCTAATGACTTTATACCTGGTACTTGAGTTTTGAAAATTCTATGATGTCAGACCATAGACTATCAGATGTAACACTGACATATGAAGATTGCTTCTTCCTTGCAGACACTGCACTTCTCTTATTTGGCTGCCCATTGGATATCTTGCTTGAAGAATGATGGTCCTGAAAAATGTGTTTGGTATTAGACTTCTGTAAAGTTGAAAGCAAAACAATACATCGGAATAAGTCTCCCTTGTATAGATAATAAAACTCACAAAAGTTGGCAGCGCACAAGAGATATAATTACACCATGTTAGAATGTATTGACCGCTATAAGATAAACATAGTCCAAAGTAATACAATAGCAACCAGATTACCTGATCTCTGAAAAAGACAAGATATAGGAACCAAACATCACAGTATATACCTTCTTTTGGTTCTTAAAATGCAAAGAATTTGTTCCAACTTTTCTAGGAGTTGTTTGGATGTTTCCAAAGAAACAGTTCAAAAGATGTGAGATAGCACTTCCAAGGTCATGATCTTCCGTATCTCTCAAGGCATCCTGCAAGCCCGGCAGATATTTTAATCAGGTATTATAGTTTCAAAATATCATCAAGAGCAATTTATAATATGCATAAATCAGGAAAGATAGATACCAGCACAATTTTTTATTGTAATACATTCCGCCTTTGGGTTACAAGGACAAGGAATGCACATCTCTTGGTGTCCAACGTGAAAATGAGAAAATATATAAAAGTGCAAATAGGTTTTAAGTACTAGCAGTTGAAGATCACCTTGAAAATGTGTTTTGCGGACCTAAAGACAACTTCATTAGAACAAAGATCCCATAAATGAGGGAAATGCCTAGTTCCCTCAGCAACCTGGACAAGAATAGATTACCTTACATAAATTAAAGAGCAACTACAATAACTATTATTTTGATCATATTCTGAAAATTGAGAAGTTACAAGTCAAACTACACCACTAGTAGCAAAAAAATACCTCCTCAGGGGCATCTGTCACAAAATCATAATTGAAAAAAACATACATGACAATGTTATTGAATCATAAGAAAAATGAAAAAGTATTAATGAAGAGCTTCATACCTTTCCAAGATAACGTAAATTAATCCCATGGGCATGAAGTGCTTCAGTCAAAGTGTGACCATCCATGGGTGAGACTTCAAGTGAGCAGAGATTGTGTATAAACTTTGGAAGTACAACATCTCTAAGATACAAACTCACTTTCTTAACAAGTTCTTCGTCAGCAGCTATGTCCTGTTGAAATTAGAATAAGGCTGATGGAATTAGGAAACACAAATGACAAATCTATGTGACTGGAGGAGGTAGAATATGAATATGCCTCTTTATTCCCAGCCAACTTGAATTCAGTGAAGACATTAGGATTAAATTGGATATCTTTAGGCATATCTTTGCTCCCTGACTGAGGACAGCAATCCTGGACATTATAGGTTTGCTTTGTTTTTTCCTACAAGGAACCAGAACCATTCATATAATAATTCATATAACATAACCAAAAGCATAATCTGCACAAAAGAAATGAATATACTATTTTGCAGAGTTTGAAAATTTGATGGGCAAAGTTTGTATGTTAGAAACAAGGTAAAAGAAACACAATATTGCCACATAAGGCACAGCCAAGTTCATATAATAACATCAGCAAAAGCATTATCTGCACAAAAGAAATGCATACACTAATTTGTACAATTTGAAAGCATGACTGACAAAGTAATTATATTTCCATCATTTCCATTGGAGCCATAGACTCGCTATATTTTGGGTTGAGATTATGATGGAATAAAGCAAAACGGATGACTAAACTGTCTGTGCATCTTTTTTATGAAAGAGCGGTCAGTCCATGCAACTGTTGACGCAATTTTCATCATGGGTCATTCAGAAATAATCTCTTTGTGCTTTAGTACAGGCGTAAGGCTGTGTACATCAACCCTTCTTACCCCCACCGTAGGTGGGAGCCTTTGCGGTACTGGGGTAATGTTGTTGATTGACAAAGTTATTATATGAACCACGAGTGTTCACATGACAACATCAATAAAACCATTATCTACACAAGAGTAATGCATATACTAGTTTGTACAATTTGAAAGTGATAGAACAAAGTTTCCATGTTAGAAACAAGGTAAAAGATAGATCACATTGGCAAATAAGACAACCATGTGGAGAAAAACTTAAAGCACAACAGAACCACCAACAAATCACAAGAGGAGCATGGTTGTTACGATGGCTAGGCGAGGCGTGCACCACCTTAGCCCCTTAGAGGTATTTAGGGTAGAAATCAATGTTTAGTCCTACCTGGAGGGAATAAAAAAGTAGTAGTCCTATTTGTGCTTTTTAGGTAAACTTTAATCCTATTGAGAGCAATTTCGATATATAATATACCTAGTAATATATTAAAGATGACATTAAATATTAAATATGTATATCATATGAAACAATAGACTATTTATATAGAACGGGTGTTCAATACAATTTTTCACAAAGATCATCAACACGAAGTAGGTATTGCTCTAGTTGTAGAGAGATTTGATAAATGGACTCAATTATCTCCGGTTGTACATGGAATAAAAGCAGGAATAGCAAAAGAAAGAGTAGCGGAGATGAGATGGAATCCAGCTAGGGATGGCTAGGGATGGACTGGGATGGGTCGACCCAACCCGTGGCCCGGACTGGGGGCCCGAACCGGGGGTAACAAAGGTGGGCTCCGGGATGCTGATTAGGTGGAACGGCCCGGACTGGCCAGGACTGGTCCAGGCTCCAACGGCTCTATTTTAAAAAAAAATGTTAATTAAATTGGGAAGCTTTGCAGCCTCATAGCCGTTGCCAAACGGCTCTATTGCCGTTGGAAGGGGGTTTGGGTGGGGGTAAAAAACATCTATAAATACTCCTATTTTCTAAACATTTTCCTACACATATTCTCTAATTCTTCTTACTCTCTAATCATCTTCATCTTCTCCAATTCTCTCTACACCTATTAATATATATCATATCTATTTAAATTAGTTATACAATTATTATATCTACTTATACACTTATTATCTACTTCTAAAAACATATATTATACCGGAGTATCTACTTATATTTATTATCTACTTAATATACTTATTATCTACTTAATATCTACTTATTATATACTTGCTACTTATATTTTTACATATATTACATATATGTACTACTCATCTTATAGTAGTATACTTATATATTATATACCATAGACATTATATTTATATATTAGTTACACAATTATTATATCTAGTTATAAACTTATTATCTACTTATAAATACATACTCTCTCCGTCCCTTAAAACTTTGAGAACTTTCCTTTCTTGGATGTCTCATTAACTTTGCCACTATTCCTTTTAAGTAAAAAAATTGTGGTTCCAGAATTTTTCTCCTCTGCACAAACTTCAACCTCACAGTTTTTACTTTATAAATCCATGTGCCGGTCAAACTTGGCAAAGTTTTAAGGGATGGAGGGAGTTTATTATATCTACTTATATTTATTATCTACTTAATAATTATATCTTGTTATATACTCCCTCCGTCCCGCAATTAAGTTACCACTTTCCTTTTTGGGCAGTCCCTAAATTAAGTTCACACTTCCTTACTTTCCTTATTTGGCAAATTATCTACATCAAAACAATGTCAAACAGTGCAAAACTGTGTAAAACAGTGTCCAAACAGTGTTTGAACAGTGCAAAACAGTGCACTCCACATTAATGTCAAATTTATTTTCTTAATATGCGTGAAGTCAAACCGGGAACTTAATTGGGGGACGGAGGGAGTACTTATTATCTACTTATATTTATTATCTACATAAATACTTATAAATATATATATTATATCTACTTTTTTAATTGCAACGGTCCACTTTTCACATTTGACAACGCACAAGTTTGACCATTGATATCTTTCATTTCTTATTAGTAAAAAAATTAAATCAAATATATTTAGAAAATATAAAAATGAGAGGAATTTAACAATATTTTTTTAAAACTTAATTTATAATACATTAATATATAAAATAGAGTCAAAGTAGAGAATGTGAATAGTGCAAAAAGTCCAATGTTGCATTTTTATATGTACTTAATATCTAATTATTATATACTCTCTCTGTCCCCCTATAATTGTCCCATTTTTTTCATTTTTGGATGTCCCCTATTAAATTTACATTTGGCAATCTTATGAAAAAATGTAAATCAACTCCCGTTGTTGCACAAAGCTTGATTAAAGAGCTTTCTTTATATCTAACGTTTCCTGTTGACTATGAAGACGGGATGACTTTGACGTTCTGCAGTGGTGGAAGGACAAAGAAAGAATGTTCCCGATTTTATCAAAGATGGCCCCTAAGTAAGTGCTAGCAATGTCGATAGTTGTCGTGGAACAAGAATTTAGTGCTCCCCATGTAGAACTCAAGAAGTTAGAATCACCCCCCACCCGGCACATCGCCCCCACCCGCCACTTCATGGAGGAAACAACAACCAACGATGGAGGAGATTCCGACTTATTTTTAGAAAATGTATTTGATGTTTTAAAATTTACTCAATTTTCAATTATAGTTCATATTTGAAATAAATATACTTTAACTTTTTATTGTCTAGCACTTGTTGAAGTAATTTTTAAACTAAATTATCAAAAAATAGCCCGACCCGGCCCGGTCCCGGTACCACCCCGAGCCGGTACCGGGTCTTCATCTCAAAACCCCAGTCCCGACCCGTCCCGTCCCGGAGCCCGGCCCGGACCATGCCTAAATCCAGCTGTCTACTTTAACAAATAAGTCCAAAAAAGTCAGAACAGGCTGAACAGCCTAGGAATGGGCGAGAGTAGTGGAGGCGGAGGCGGAGTGGTGGCGACCATCGTCAGTGATCTGGTGCAACCCTAACCTAAACAGCCTAGGAATGAGCGAGAGTAGTGGAGGCGGAGGCGGAGTGGTGGCGACCATCGTCAGTGATCTGGTGGACGCGATGAACAGTTAATGGCCTAGGTTTTTGGCCGACGTCAGGCGGCAAAATGGGCACTAGGTGACGCCATGACGGCTTGCGGACACCTAATTGATGTCGAGTTATGTCTTGGCAGCTTCAGGCAATTTGAGTGAGTATGACGCCACTCCTCCACCGACGGAACAACTATTTGGCGCCTAGGCGACACCGTAACAACTATTCAGAGGAGCCAATTGTATAGTGTGTTTCATGTTGGCACTTAAGCAAAAAGCAACAGCCATAGGCGTGCGATCTCTATATTGCATCCTACCTATCTTGACCAAGAAGGTGAGGTGAACGCCTGGTCAAGAGTGCAGTCAAACACAATAGGGCCATTCACTCTCCTAGTTTTCAAGCCTATCACCCCACTACGTAATTTAGAAAAAACAATTACCTCCTTGTCAACTAGGCTTGAGGTGATATCCCCAGTTCTGAGCAGATCATCAGCATTGCTGGCCTTTGAAGAATCACTTGTCTCTTGAACCTCTTCCTCCTCAGCCTTACACTTTGGTTTTGAGCTATCCACTGTTTGAACCTGTTTTATGTGAAAATAATAATTATGAGAATATTTTTTATACTATTGTTGTTATTATTAACACTATTACTATTATTATAAACAAAAAATATATAAAGAAATAAATGAGAGGACAGTTATGAAATAAGGAAAAATATTAAGAAGGTAATACTGTTAAGTTCGACTACTAACTTGGCAAAATGCAGTTATCAATTCAGGTCTCAAAATACAAAATCTGGAACCTGGACCGCTACAATTGGCATCACGAGGTGTGGCTCTCATCAAGTCCAATATATAATGCCTGGTTGCCAGTGTTTTAAAAATTATAAATGATATTATCAATTAATATCTACTCACGCAGCTATTGTTGCCTAAATTAATTGTCTCATTACAGACATGATGATGATGATGATGATGTTAAGTATTCAACAAACATCAATAAATTATAAGAAAGATCAGCACTTGACCCTTTTAGCATAACAGGGCAGCTTATGTCAGTTACCTGTCATCACTGCCGACAATACCTTTGCACTCAACTGGTGCAGCTAGCTCAAAAACGTTTCCAGACCCGTCATAGACAGTATGCAACTTCAAGTGGAGACGCTTCGCAGCTTCGACTACCTGTTGATAGTCAAAAGCATAGCAATATTGATTGACCAATACACTGGTTAGGATGTTTTTACTTGGACTGAAATTTTCTGGTCTAATCTAATCTGGTCTGATCTGGTTTGAATTGGGCTGGTAAATATCTAGTTTGTGTATTTTACAACTGTCGAAGTCTGGTATGAACTGGTTTGGGACTGAAACAAGTCCAAGTAAAGACATCCTTAGTCAAAAACATAACTACTATTTATTGAAAAAATCTGAAAATTCAATAAATAAGAGCAAAAAATTGAGAAAATAGTGAACAAAACAGATATATTGTTTACTTTAGCACAAGTTTTAATAGCGGTTGAAAAGGTAAAAGATGTGGTTGAGATTTTAGTAGAAAAGGGTGAAATGGTATGAGCCACATATTATTGCCAAAAGAGAAAGAAGACAATTACTTTGGGACATCCCAAAAAGGAAAACAAGACAATTATTTCAAGGCGGAGATAGTATTTATTAACCACGTCAAAGGAAACAAACCTTGGAGTGGAACTCCTCATTCCAACATATTTTTTTCCCATTATCAACAGATCCATATAGAAGCGAGTCTGATTTGTCACCATGAAGGATGCCGGGTAAAACACTCTGTAACCAAGAAACACAAAAACCAATGGCTACTTTGACAGAATACTAAATACAATACAATCAAAGTGGCAAACAAAGTTTAAATTTAAACAAGTGTCTGGTATAGTTCATGTAGATTTTAAGTTTTATGCTCAAAGCACTTCATTTTGTAATGTCTAAAATCATTGATGCCTAATGATACCAGATAATAACTTGGAGGCTGCAATTTGATTACTAGAAAGCTCTTGTCTTTGTCCTCCCAGGTAGCCGGTGGGAAAAGTAGGTGTATTGGTGTATGGGTAAGCAGTTAGCTAGTCTTAACCATTAACACATATAAACTCCCAGTTCAAGTGCGTTTATTATATTTTTTCTCATAAACTCAAGACTCTAATATCCATCATCGTATGGTATAAGTTTGTAAGCACCTGTGCAATCACCCTGTAGCCTCTGTAGTCAATTATGGCCATTGCAAGGCTGTATAGCCCAGGGACGTCAGCTTCTTGATATGCCTTCGTTCCTTTCAGGTCATTGTTTGCACCTGCATATGTGGCTTGTTCACTTTCAGCCAACTGATTCTCAACATGTTCTCCTGTTGCGACATCCAACAAGCAATTTACATCTGCACTAGAACCAGCAAGGTTCTCCCCCCCTTCAGAAGCTCCAAGTGGCACACTGTTAGGGATCTTCTCAGACAATAACTGAAGTGAATTAGTGCTCTCAATATCTGAAGGAGATCCCGAGGTCTGCCTGCTGGATAGTTGCTCAAGGTCTGAATCTACAGCAAAGCTGAAGAATATATTGTTGTGGACATACCTACAAAGCATGAAAACAGGCATGAGAAACAGGTGGATATGAAACTGCACATATTAAGGCAATAATAATACGAAGCTGCAGCTTGCCAATATATTTATAGAATCTTTCTAAATTCAGAATGCATTAAAGTATTCAACAAAATAAAGTCATATAAATGAAAATCACTCTAAATTACATCTTTATTCATCTTGTAGGGCATGTAGATAAATAGGTGGCAGGAGTGCATAGATTAAGGAAGTCACAATACCAAGCCACAGCTTACCAATATATTTATACATCCAACTTTTTCAAATAAAGAATGCATTAAACAAAATAAATCCATGTGTGTATAACAACAGTACATTCCATCTTTGTTCCTTTTGCCGGGCATGTGGATGTATGGGTGGCAAGAGTGCACAGATAGATGTTTGGAGGTCATATAGAAGAAATTTGTGACTGGTAAATAGAAAAAGTGAGTCCTCCCTCAGCCCCCCACCCCGCCCACACCTGCCCAAATAGGAGTCAAGTTTAGTTTTGTCAAGGTGCACTTTTTTAATTTTGAGAAAGTTACAACATCTTTCAGTCTTATATTTTTATAGTTATATATTGTGTATAAGAAAATCTATCATGAGGACATAGAACATAGCAATTGCAACAAGTTCTGCCAAGTGACTAACATATGAAAGCACTCCGGATCGGTTGGATTAATTGGTGGAATACATCTGCTGATGACTCCAATAGCACCACTAGTTGCAGCATCCACGAAGTCAGAAGTTACTTTGTAAAGTGCCCTGTCTCGCAAGATCCTGTAAATAATTTTCGTGAGTGATATAAGATGGAAACTGCACATACACCGATATTCATAAACTACAGCAAGAATGTACAAAAAAACAACAGCAAATAGTAAGAAATAATTGAAAAGAAGATGAATTATAAGCACCCAAATGTACAAAATTACAAATACAGAGAATATGAGACAGGCTGGCAGCTAATGAGGTAGCAATGCACCTTTCTTGTGGTGTAGCATGTGGAAATTCCCGACAAGATTGCAACTCTTCATTCCAATCTCTTTGCATCCCAATCAGTTCACTTCCAAAAGAAAGTGTCAAAGCATTCTCTGCTCTAGCTGCATCACGCTTGTGATCTAAAGCCAGAAGTAGAAGTTAATGCAAAACCATACAAAAAGGTGCATAAGTTTATTTCTCTGAACTATTTTCTCTTACGTCCTCTAACTCCAGGTCAATCCCCACTTATAAAATAAATCATGTTGATTGCATAACTCTACTCTAATCTTTCACGTTCAATTGTTCATAACTTTTTGAAGACAAATAGTGTAGTTAAAGCAAATGAAACTAATGTTTCATGCTTTTAAAATAGTTATTATCAGCTCTTTGGGAAATACAATTATTTTTTCAATGCCTTGCTTGAAAAATAAAGACGGAAAATCTATTAGTCAGATTTGTTTAGTTCTCAAAGAATAAATGTTAAGGCCGGTGAGGGACTAAAGACTACTGATTGGGCTCTTAATTGACCACTCAGGGAAAACACTCAACTACTCGGTGTTTCTTGCAGGTGTTGCAGACTTGCAGCTTAAAGGCAAAGATCCAATTTCAAAAAACATATAGACAAGAAAACTCATATAGTTATTTAAGGGTTGTTGCGCTACCGTAGCAATATGTAAATTAAATCACTTACCAGGAATGGGATAGTAGCCAAGCCATGAATTTGGGGGCAACAAAGATTGAATGCTCTCAAAAGGGTGAGCAGAGGCCTTCTGCTCCAATATTTCTTGAAAGGCTTTATAAAATAAAACAAGGTGCTTTATAATGACCTAAGACAGTCCATCAAAGCATATATATAGATTGGCCACATATAACCATATCTTCATACCTCTCTTAAACTTAGAGCTAATCTTTTGCAAAAGTCCAACGAGAGTTGTTGCTTCACAACCGGTTTTACTCGGTCTTGCATCAAGAATATTGGCAGTGCTTGAATTAAGATAGAAGTTTTTTGTTGTTCCTGTCACACAATATTTGTTTCCTTCGAGTGTTACTACATCCAAATAAATTAAATCTCCAGCAAGTCTGAATGCAATAAAAACAAATTTATGTTACTGATATTATTCAACAAATCAAAGTAATGGATTTGATTACACATGTCAATTTAACATAATAACTATACCTTCTGTGACTGGGAGGAGGATTAAATGCAGAGAACACTATACTCTCCACACATTTCACCTCCTTAGAATTTGTTGATAGCAAAATGGAGAGTGACTGAGAAATATTATCCACAAAACCCGTGTTATCGAGTTCTGGTACATCAGCTTTGGTTGGCTCTACAGAGGAAAACAAAACAAAATCATGTAATAGAGTTTAAATCCGACAGAAAAGGGGACTAATAACAATCTTTTGAGGTGGGGTGAAGGCATGCCCAAATAGAACAGCAAACCTCCGGATTTGGAGGCTGTAGTAGGCCTGATATCATGCTGTAGTGCAAGTGATGTTGAGAGTGAGGAGTGCACACTGGAAAGTGATAACAGTTCTCGTGTGCGTTGAATATGAGCCCTAATAGATCGATCATCATATAATGCTGAAAGACAGTCACCAAACTTTTATTTATGATATTTAGTCAGCAAAGTCTAGCACTGAATCATGCTATGTACACAAGACGCATTTACCAGGAACCATCTCGAGGGAGCAGGTTCCAGATGTTATATCGGCCACATCAGGAATTTCATTATAATCCTCTAGAAGATAAGGCCCTTCTTTAGTGTGTAATAAGAGGTCATAGCATGTAAAGAAACATGTCTCTGGAGCATCAAGAAGAAAAAGCTTCACATCCATCACAGAATCTGTAGGACTCAGCTGCAACCACAAGCCCATGATAGAAGTACTAAGTATTCACACACAATAATAGGATGCTAAATCTATTGAACAAACCATTTCTGGCTTTTGGTGTAGAAGAAATTCAATATTTCTTCCTCCTAGGATCATGAGCAAATTAGTATACAATATTGAGCTGTTCAGGCAATATGACATATGAATTAACTTTAAAACAGATGTTATGTAAATATAATTTTAGCACTTTAAAGCACAGTGAGATAATACTTCCTCTGTCCCTAAATGATTTGCACTTTTACTTTTCTTAATCAACACTTTTTTATTCTATGATTTTGACTATCAAACTTTTATTGTTTTCGAATTTGGTTTTTGGAATTCAATAGAATTTATAAAGCAGTTTTATCAACATTGATATGAATTTTAGTTGGAAAGATTTAACTTCATCATCGTTCAACCTTAAAAACAGCAAATTTTAAATCAATTTGAAACGAAAGGAGAACAAATAATTTTACATTGCCTGAAAAAAAGTATCAAATTGCCCAGGTGCATAGCTGAAAATAGCAAATCAATGAAATAAGAGTTTGAGATAGAATGACATAGTACAACATTATTTACAATAGCATTTATCTCACTTGTATTTCTAGCTTTTCACCCCCTTGAGTTTTAACAGTAACCGGGTATAGATGGATGTCACCTGCACCACCAGAAGAGTAATTATACAATGTAGGTTTGAACGATCCAAATTCCAAATAGATTCAAGAGTAATCTAATATCAATAAACAGATCCGTTGACACAGTGACAGCTATCAAATCAAAGCAAAAATCGTGTTATGCTATAGTCTATTAGCAGAAAGGGTCTTAAGAGAGTTAGACATGGCACTTTCATATTTGGAAATGGTAACACGAACTTACTAAAGGTCCAAGACCCGTGATCCACATGTACGGTGTCCGTGTGTCGGTGTCCATTTTACAGAAAATCGAATGTGTGGAAATGCAAAAATATAGATAGGAGTATTAGTACACTGTGCAAGAAAATAAGATACAACCTAAACCTCACCTTGCTTTGCCGAGTTTGTTGGGGCCTCATCCACAGATTTGTTGGCTTTGGTCTTGGTATCAGTTGATGGACTGGTTTCTGTATTTCCATTAGCCTCCGAACTTACAGAATCACTTACAGGAGCATCAGATGACACCACAAGCTCAGTCGTTGTGGAGGTGTTATGTGCTTTCCTGTTCTTTCCTTTGTTTGACCTTCCCGCCATCTCTAACCTCTGTAAAAATGCACCATTATTTATTCAATTCACTAAGCAGTCTTTTTCTCACTCTCAGAGTGGTTGAGCCATTTGACAATATGTAATGCCAGTCTTTGGAGAAGCAAGCAAAAACAACTAAATAGAAAAGGTATACACCAAACAAATTGGAAACCCATACTGAAATAGAAAGATACTAAGTTTCAACAAGACCAACAAAGGAAGCATTGGGAGAAACACACAGTAATCATTCCCATTTGTTCAGTCTATACTGTTTCAATGAGCATGACGCATGTACCAAAACTATTAGGTACAGAGAGTATCTTTCTGAAAATGGAATATAGACAAAACCTATCAGTACAGTCGTACAGAGTATTTTTCTGAAAGAAAGCGAAATGACTAATAGATAGTCCGAACATTAATTAAAACACTAACGACCAGAGAAAAGGGGAAGTAATGATGAAAACAGTATAGCAAATAGCAATAGACTAAATAAAAAATCACACAACATAATCAGTATCTTTCTGCACTTTCGATAAGACTAACAAAAAATATAAACTTTTTGCTTAAGTAAAAGCAGGCAGATCAATCAAAGCATGAATCACATAGCTCAAATAGGCGATGTAGTGAGTCTAGTGACCAAATCAAATTTTGCACCTACAAAAACACGACGAAAAATATAAGCAGGTATAAGGAACGAGCTTGGAAAGAGAACACTACCGCAACTTCAGGAGGCGTGCAACTCCCCCTTGGCAAGGCTATCTTGAACTCCGCAATTACAGTAGGGCTGGGGCAATAGAGGTTGAAGGCAGACGTGGCGTCCCAGCCGTGTGTGGGTTGAAGGGAGAAATGATTGTCGCGGAAAGGCCTTTCTAAGTTGTATCAATCCAACGGGCCTAGCCCAATTTTACTCGTGTCCCATGGAAGAGTACCACTCCCTACTGCACTAGCTTCGTTAGTCTTAGAGGGTGTATCTAATATGAATGAATTGTGTTGATTTTTAATTTGTGAACTTTTGAAAAGTTTAGAGACTTTTTGTGTTTAGCACAAAAAGCTTTAACGGGAGGCTGAACAGAAACTATTGTTTGAAACAGAAACTATTGTCTAGAATTGAATTTGAAAGTGATGAATCTGAATTGCTAGTTGAATGGAGTAAACTCGTTTGGCAAAAGGAGCTGAACAAGTGCAGGGATAATATGAAATTACATTAAAGGACACATGATTGTTAATAGAATAAAATATATTTATTGTAACGATATTTATATTTATAATATAATATGATATGATATGATATGATATGATATGATATGATATGATATGATATGATATGATATGATATGATACGATGTGATGTGATATGATATGATGTGATATGATATGATATGATGTGATATGATATGATGTGATTTGATATGATGTGATTTGATATGATGTGATATGATATGATGTGATATGATATGATATGATATGATATGATATGATATGATATGATATGATATGATATGATATGATATGATATGATATGATATGATATGATATGATATGATATGATATGATATGATATGATATCATATCATATGATATCATATGATATCATATCATATCATATCATATAACGTAATATAACGTAATATAACGTAATATAACGTAATATAACGTAACGTAACGTAACGTAACGTAACGTAACGTAACATAACGTAACATAACGTAACATAACATAACATAACGTAACGTAACGTAACATAACATAAGATAACATAATATAACATAATATAACATAATATAACATAATATAACATAATATAACATAATATAACATAATATAATATAATATAATATAATATAATATAATATAATATAATATAATATAATATAATATAATATAATATAATATAATATAATATAATATAATATAATATAATATAATATAATATAATATAATATAATATAATATAATATAATATAATATAATATAATATAATATAATATAATATAATATAATATAATATGATATGATATGATACTTCATTTGTCTTGCTAAGATTGTCTCATTCGTGTATTGAATTCTAAAAAACAACATTCGTGTATACCATACGAAATAAAAAACCATAAAATTAACATTTAAGTTGGAAATAGTTGTAATAAATAAATATGTAAACATGAATATCACCATAATTGACTAATAAGGACCGAAAATATTTAATTTATGTTAGTCCATATCAAGGATGCTATATTGTTGCGAAGTTCCTTCATCTTAGTACAACTTTCTGTTTGTGAATTGATGGCACTTGAAGTTGAGTTCTGAATGTCAACAAGATCATCACGTGGTATGAAATCTGGATGGCGTTCGAGAACCTCAAATATCATGTCATCACTAAAGAATTTACGAATATAGTTGTGCAGAGCAAGTGTTGCCATAATAACATCTATCTGCGTTTTAATGCTAAACGTAGGCATTCTTGATAAGATCTTCAACCTCTTTTTCAAAACCCCGAAATAACGCTCTATGCAACTACGAAGAGATGAGTGTGAGCAATTGAAAGCTTCTTGAGAATTTGTTGGTGCTTCATTTTCAAATTGCTCCAAGTGGTGTCGTAGCTTGGGATAAGGAACAAGATATCCTTTTCGATCCGGATAGCCTTTATCCACCAAGTAATATCTACCTACATAAATTTTAAAAATATGATTAAAATTATGCCTCTGAGTTTAATAAATTGACAATAAAACATACCTTCAGGTGGATGTGGAAAGTTCAATGACGGTGTCTCTATAACATGAAGGAATACACGTGTATCATGAGCCGATCCCTCCCACCCTACTGATAGAAATGTAAAACACATGTTGAAATCACACACAACCATAACATCAAAGGTCGGGATACCTTTTCTTCCTCTATAACGCAGTTGTTCCTTTACTGGGATACATGCAGCTATGTGTGTTCCATCGATACACCCGATGCAATCCTTGAAATATGGCATATATCTTTTATCCTTAAAAATATGATAAGGGATATACGGGAAGGCCCAATCGATTAGTGTAATCATATCACGTGCAAGACCCTTATATCCCTTACTCCTACCTGTGACGGATTCTAAGACATTGTGAAATGCCCGACTTACAGTATCTCCATATCTTTGGAACCTCTCAGCCACATCTCGAATTGAAAGGCCCAAAGCTAGAGTGTATATAAATATACCTACTTTTTCTTCAATTGTGATTTTGTCACTTGATGTTAAATCATATTTTGATTGCAAATCTTTACATAGGCGTGCAAAAAAATTTGGTGACATCCTAAAGGCATTAACACAACGAATGGGATGTTCATTCAGCACCTCTTGCATCCAAGCCTCCCCACTTAAAGCTGATGTCATGCAAGGCTCTTTATACATATGTTTGTAACAATGGGACGCAATAATATCATTTCTATCATGAATAGTAATCCCAACCATAATAAGAAGCATAAACTCATAATCTTCATCGTGACTCGTGATATCCTTTTAAACAAATGAATGAATGAAAACAAATCACTTTAATATCAAGTCTCAACATATAAAAATTAAAATCACTTCAATCTCAAGTCCCAACGTCTAAAAATTGAAATCACTTCAATCTCAAGTCTCAACATAAATTAAAATTAAATATCCGATCTAAAATATTAAATTTTTATCCTAAATGTATGACTCGGTATTTAAAACATTTCTTTTGTGTGCATAAACTTCAACCAGTTGAGCCTTTCATCGTCATCTTTAAAGTTTATGAAGAATTGTCTTATAGTAGGATTCTCCATAATACAAATACTATGAAACCATAAGTCACCACTCCTCACAAGCCCGCCATTATCAGTCATTATAGTCATAATTTCCATGACATCACCAACACTTACACAATCATCAACAACCTTCTCTTTTTTTGTCAAGAGACGCTCAATTGCTTGAAGACATGTATTCCCCCTCTCTAAATTTTCACTAAGTTTCACTGATCCCATAGACTGCCTTAGTTTGCGCTTCTTACTAGTGCCACTGGTCTTTGCATCTTCACCAGTGGTAAATGTAGTAACAGAAGGAACATTTCCACTGACCTCTTGCACAAAGTCTTGAAAAAAATTACCCAGATCTAGTTCGTCATGGTAACTCTTATACACCTCACAAGGACCACGGTTATCCCCCGAGTTGACAGTGACTTGATGATTTTATTGATTGTTGTTCTCCACAATTGTAGCAATTGGAGCCACACATTCTACTCCAATTGCTACAGAGTCCCCAAATATTTGATCCCATTGCTCTTCAATGTTATTTGGAATTCCTTTATTCTTGAACTTCTTTACTTTTGCCTTTTCCTAAAGAGAAAATTATTACTTGAAAATAAATATTATAATAATCCCAACTTAAGGTAATAAGCTAACTAAAACACATACCTTAATTTTTTTACTCCACCACTCATCTGAACAATCCAGCGTCCCAATGGCCGTATTCTAACCCAATCCAGTCTCATCACGTTTCAATGACTTCCACAATCGCCAATCTTTTTTCATAAAGTCAAACTTATTTTTCAAACTTTTAAAAGAACAATTCCTTTTTGTTCTCTCCTCAAACAAAGCTTGCATCTCCTTCCACCTAAACTGTTGTCCCCTCCCATTCTTAAGAATGAATTGGATGCATATTTCATTAAAAATTGCAACAGTTTCATCTGACCACATAAAGTAACCCCTTTCATCTTTCTTAGATGACATCTGAAAGGCTCAACCGATAATATAGCAAATGAAAAAAAATCATTACAACGGTGTGAATTCAAAGAACTTATAATACAACAAATACGAGAATGGTGAAACCACATCTAATCAATATCTAGTTGGCCAATTATCATGGAACAGGGAGTATAAATTATAGATGAAAATTAGTTAAGTTGTTTGCACAAATTATGTCTGGAACCTTGAATGGGACAACATGAGCATTTATAGTTTAGAACGTTTTTTATGGTTAGTTAAAGTAATTATTTTAGACTTGTTTGTTAGTTTTTTTTTTTGTAATTTTCTTGAGAAGTTATTTTCATTTGATCAAAGATGATATCTTTTTCTTTTCCGTTGTATAATTAAAAAATTAAAACATGTATAAACATAAACAAAAGACGATTTCTTGTTTGGAACAAAAAAATAAATTTTATAAATGGTCTTCTTGTGGTTTTTGTTAGCTTTCACTTTCCACACTTTTTTTCTAGCTTATGGCATCACAAACTTTCAATAAAGAAAGCTCCCATCAGTTCTCTGTACGTTCACCAAATATTGGCAAATTGTCCATCTAATTCCAGTGAAAGGGACAGGGATGTCGACTGGATGTGTTTGTTAGGCTATGTTTGGATTTCAGTAAACTACATGGAGTAGTTCTTTAAAGCAGAGTCTACATTCTACCAATCTACCTTTATTCTCTTACTATTTTTCAGTTAGTTTTTGTGGGAAAATTGGCAAAGGAAATCATACTCTGTATCAAACCTAAAGCCTCAAGACTTCCTTCTCAAGGAAAAAGCAGTAAAGAATAATGTTAAGAGTCTAGAAAAATAAAACTTACTAACCATTAAAGAGAGGAGCAATAATCATGATTTTTGGTTTTAAAATGTGTATAAAATAGGATGAATGAAGAACCATTTATACAAATGACATTAATTGTAAGCTACGCCAAAAAAACAAAAACATTTTTTTCTAGATTTAAGATTTTTGTTTTTTATCAAAAAAGAGAAAAAATGAAAACATGAAGTAGCAATGATACTTGTTAAACTTTCATCCTTTTCTGCCCATCCATATAAAATGAAATAGTTTTCTTGGTATGATATGCAGAGATGCAGCAACTCAAAGACCCCTAATGGATCACAACACAATTTCACTAAGGATTTTAATCGAACACTTCGTAGGCGTAAGATTTGTTTCCAGGCTCTAGTGAATTCCTAAATCATGAGTTTGTGTTTTTGCAAAGTGAAAAATACAACTCTCAACATGATTATATATGAGAAATAAATTTACTGATGACTGATTGCAATGTGCTTCATTCAAGAAATAAATATATGATTTACATAGTGATACCAAACTTGTTACTCTAACCTCGAAGTTTATTGACATGGAATACACATGTAAGCTTTTAGAGAAGAAAATTTAGGAGAACCGATCAGCCATAGACCATACCGTTGGAGTTCTATGTAGGCCTTTTTTCAGGGTGACGGGAGAAAAGAGGAGGTTGTCTCTCTTTGTGTATGACTTGCTATGGGTGTCTAAAACACCAAGCAATTGACATAAATAAACTGTAGAGTGAAAGGTAGAGGTAAAAATAACATACCTTCACCAAAGCTGGACCTCTGCCTCGATCAATGACTTGGGTTGTGCGGCAATGGGGAAGGAGTTGTGGAGAGATGAATATATGTTTGTGGCAACCCTCAGGGACATAAGGGGAATGTGAAGTCTGGAATCGAGAGTGTGGGTTCAAACGCTACGGAGGCAAACGTTGCAGCTCAGCCCATTTTCCCAACTCAAGTCCGCTCCAGCCTCGCAAACAAACGGGTCTACTTTAATCCTAACTGATTGGATTTAAAAGATTTCAGCCTTTTTTAGCTTACTTGGCATGCCGAACACAGCCTTATTAATCTCAACCCCGACTTATTCGCTCAGTCATTTTGTGACTTATTCGCTCAGAGCAAATTTGATAGTTCTTCAGGCTCAGACATATCAGCGACAGAAGAGTCTCTTTTTTAACCCTGCTCCTTTACTACGTTTCATCGCTTCCTCAAGGAGATACTATGTACATCGTTAGCTGCCAAAGCTCTAAGGGAATGGGCGACCTTCACCGACAACACCGACTCCGGCAGTAGCTATTCAGCCAAGAAATTTATCACCCCTTTCACCTCGGTATTTCCTCTCGTTCCATATGGGTTTTATTTTACTTTTTTATTATTATTTTGTAGAGTCTCTCCTAAAACATCTGAGGTTGTATGTTCAACACTTTATAATTGCTGCCATATATTTGATTTTATGATTAATTGTTTCTTAATATATATATATATATATATATATATATATATATATATATATATATATATATATTCAATTTCAAGCTCTTAACCACAACCCTAGCCCCAAAGTTCATACATACAGTTAAACTATACAGACTACCAAATCAGGGAAATTTTTCTTGTATTTGATTCAATTCTATTTCATTCTTCATTTACAGGAAGTTTAAAACTTTCGTTAGTGTTATATGATTGCCCATATTCTGAGAGATAATATGCCAATGAATTTTGGTTAGCTAGTGTGAACTACCCTTCAAGGTGTACCCTTTGCATATAAATCTTAATATGTACCGTCTTCTCATACTAGGAGCTTACAATTATCCATATGAAAATTAGAAGAAATAATTAATTCCAAGAGCAGCTTCAGCGTCATTTAAACTCGTAAATGAAAGGGCCTCTGGCGTTGATGACTTTTTGTGCTAAATTGGTAGGTTTTTATTGGCTAAACTTTCGTGGCTTTTATTTTCACTAAATCCTTACATTTTGATTGACTAATTTAGGATCAGTTGGATTAAAAAAATTCCAACGAAAAAAACATCTTGCTTAAGGTTTAGATTTAGATATTCACTTTATGTGTTTGCAAGCCACTTTATGCGGTTTCATACCAACGACAGAGAACCCTAAATCATGGCGGGGTGACTGCTCTGTGCAGTGTGGTTTGTGTGGTGAGGCAGGTGAGTCTATGTTGCACCTTTTCCTTGGCTGCACAGTTTCAAAGCAGGCACGGGAGGCAAATTCTTGGAGCTGGGCATGCTATGGTGTGAGCAATTTTCTGGAGCAACTGCAGTTGGAGTTCCCGTCTAAGCGGAGGGATGATCTGGTAAAGCTTATTTGGGGTTGCTCGAACATTTGGAGCAAGATAAATTAAAGAGTTTGGAAGGACAGTTCGATGACGCCACAACAGTTCATGAACAAGGCAGAGAATCTGGTGGTCGGTTGGGCTCAAGCTCAGTCAACTGGGTGCATTGGGAGGCATTCGGGACTATCATTTGCTACATTTTGGAGACGACCAGCTGTGGGGAAGATAAATTGAACATAGATGCTGCTGTCCGGGGTTTCAAATGTCGCCATGGTTGGTGTGTACGAGACGATGGAGGGAGGTTTGTAGGGGGCTGCGCTGCCAAGTTTGGGGAACTTCTCTTTTGGGGGAGCTGAAATATGATATTGATGGCGACTGATATTAGAGACTTGGCCAAGAGTTGTTCCTACATCCGATTGATATTGAGGTTGAATATGATGCATCATGGGCTATTTCTGAAATACTAAAGGGATCAAGTTCCTCCTACATCGGATTGTTGGCGGGTGATATTAGAGACTTGGCCAAGAGTTTCTCTAGCATTTCTTTCCCTCATATTACGCGATCAACGAATAATACAATTCATGTTTTAGCTATGAATATACATTATATGATGAATTTACAAGATGAAATTGCTAATAGATTAGTAGAAAATGCTTAAAATTAATATGTTGTAATATTTTTGAATTTATATTGTTGTATTTTACGAGCTCACTTGCTCAGTAAATTATCATTATTGTAACAAGTTTTATGTAATTGCAATACCATTTAGAACAGATAAAGTAAACAGACATGCATGTTCATAATTTGTTACAGATAGAAGGGTAAAGTGGTAACTTAATATCATTCAGCACTCGTAGTAAATAGCTTGTTATCCCGGTGTCACCTAATCCAGACAGACGTCTTATACCATACAGAACTTAATGAAAATAAAAGTAAACGGGGCCTTAGTAAGCTAAAACTCCAAGAGGGAGACTTTTAAACCAAATAGCCAATAAAGAGCTACTCCGTAACTGTTAGACTTCCCATAACCTATCTATATACTCGTATTTGTTTAGATAGCCTAAGCGTTAATTTTTATTCTCTGCTCATTGATTTAATGTAGTCGTCACTCGACAATGCTTTTGGACGTCACTCTTTAAGTTGTCCTTCACCAAAGAATGAGATTTTTGGAATCCCTACTGTCAAATTATTATTACAAAAGTTTATTTGCATAATTTCATAAATAACTGTCAATCATGTAAAAACTGGAAATTTAGAAACAATAGGGTGATCAAAAGGCAAAACTATTACATTTGGAGATACAAGAATGGATCCTCTTATTATGTGTTTATACTTAAATGGAATGCATGCACACCAATGTATGAATGCAATGTATATGAACTAGAGGCCCTTCATTTATGAATGGGCACAAAATATTACATATAATAACAACTTTCACTATGCCCTCAACGTGGAGTGTGAAAGTTAGAAACACTCAACTTGCTACATAAAAACCGTGAAATGATCAATGCCAAGTGCATCACTAAAAATGTGAGTTGATGATGTGTGGTGGATATACAACAAGGTTGTATTTCACGGCTAGCAACAAATTCTCATATGAAGTGGCAATCCATCTCCACATACTTGATGCGTTTGTGGAAACCAAGATTAAATGCAACATAATAGGGTGGTTGATTGTTACAAAAAGGATGTAAGGCTAGGCTCAGGAACTATGAGGTCTCGTAGTAGTCATTGTAACCATATTTTTTCAATGATTGTTATACTCATTGCGCCACAGATTCACTATTTTTTTTGAAAATATGATGAAATAAAACAAAATGACTCACTAACCGTATACGCTTCTTTGAAACAACGGTCAAGTCCATGCAATTTTCATCATGATTCATCCAGAAACATTGTGTATGTGCTTTAGTACCAGAGTAAGGCTACGTACAGCCGACCCCCCACGCCACCGTAGACGGTCTTTGCGCTATTGGGGTATTCTTGTTGTTATTATTGTTATTGTTGTTGTTGCTTACTCCCATTGCGCGATACTCTGTCTTAGCAGAAGAGCGTGAAACAACATATTGTTTCTTTGTTCTCCAAGAAACCTGTGGACTATCAAGAATAACGAAATAACGAGTTCTAGACCCGCATGTGAAAGAATTACCCGCCAACTCTGCATCTGAGTATCCCTTTAAAGCGGAAAAGGCAAGGCAAGTTTGGGCGGCGTACTAAGGAACAAATTAAGTTGACTAAAAGATAAAACAACGTCTGGCCGACGTATTTATAGTCTGTTTGGTAACCCTGTTTTTCGCATTATCAGATTTATCAATCATTTTTTCTACCAAACACGTAACTTTTAATTTCGTAAGCTGAATCGGATATAATAATAATAAAAAGTAAGATTGTAACTACTTTTCTAGCCGTATTGGCCGATGTTACTATACATAATCATTTTATTTATTTTTACATAAATTTTTTTCTTAAAAAATATATTATAAATATAATTTTTCATAAAGCATCAAAACCAACTAATTCAGTCACTTCAATTAAAATTTCATAAATTTCAATAATATCAGTAAATTGAGCCAATTTTGGTATTTACAAACGGCTTAAATAAGAAAATCTTTTAAAGTGAATATACCGGTCCGGTGTGACCTCTGACCGGAAATAATCCATCTGTTTCCGGTCTGGCTATTTCAGTTCCAGTCCGATCTTGAACGTTCTCTGCCCGGTAGGTGGATTGCGGAGGTAGGTGAATTAGACCTTATTTTTCTGCTATGCGTGCAACGAAGGTGATTTTCCATACCCGAAATCCCTCAGAAAAAAAATCTACAGATAAAAAGCAAAGAATAGGTCCTGCATTTCTATCCCCCATCAGCAGCCGCCCCTTCTCTCTGGAAAAAGTTCTCATCACTTCCAGTTTGCGATCAAAAGTTTTCTTAGTTCTGAATCGAATCTCAAACCTGGTAAGACAAATGCCATGCTCTCTACTTATATTTGTTCTTTTAGGGTTGTTGAAAAGCATGAATTTCTGCAAGATTTGGTTAGTTCCTTGTTTCTTTGGTCTGTTAAAGATTTTCAAAGTCTAGCAATTGAACATTCCTTACTTCATAGGTTATTAATTCCACACTCATGGCTTTAGTTTGTCTTCCATCAGTTCTCGGCAAAACAGTGCTATCTATTGCTAGTGGATTAATATTTTTAAAGTGATTTGATGATTTCTAATGGCTAAAATTTTGACAAAGTGGGCTAGAAACTCATGAGTCTAATTGCTAGTGTTATATGAATTTTCTTTAAACTTTCGTTCTTTCTATATCAAAACTGGCCACCGTTGCTGTTATGGTATATATATGTATGTATATATATAGCATATCTAATTGTAAATGAAACTCTGTTTGAAAGAATTAATTTAAATCTGAATGCCAAAGTTTCCCAAATCACTGAACTGAAAAGTGTTTAAATTTGTTTTGAAGTTTTAAGGCTCCGCAAACACCAAACTAGATTTGAGCTGTTATGAAAAGAATTTCATTGTTTTATACGGAGTACCTAAAATTTGTACACTCGATGCCGATGCGTGGTATCAAAGGCCAAAACTCGCTGCAATTTAGTTTGTTAAGTCAATCAGTTCAATTTTTTGAGTCGTTCAAAACAGCTAGGAAATTTATGTCCTAAGTTTTAGTATATGCAGTAGACAATTAAATCTTCACGAGTATGACCACGTTTCGTACTTAGCTCATTCTTACTTCATAATTACATTTAATTAAGAGATATAAGAGAAGAGCTTGCAGGAAGACGTTATCAAGGTGTCACACTTATTTGAATATTTTTAGTTCAGCAGTTAACAGGTGTAAGTTCACTATTACCTGTTCAACCAAAAGAAAGCAAGAACTCTGGTTGATTTTTAATACGGAGTAAATGATTTTAGACCATTTGGTATTATTATGTGAGCTTGGTGAATTATTTGATGAGCTGTTTTATTTGTTATATTGCAGTTTATTGCTTTAAAAATATCCCTCAGAGGGGTGTTACACTCGCTATTTGGAATTCAATTGCCGAACAGCAAAATTCAAGCGACGACTCGTCTTCCTCTCAATTTCTCATCCTCTGCTCTTGCCTCACTCGCTAGTCGCCCTCTGGCTTCTCTGCCTCTCCACTCTTCCGAGTTCTGAGAATCCGACTATCAGAGTTTCCTGCTTCCGAGTCTCCCGTCTCCTGCTCTCCAGTCTCCGCCAATTGCCTGTTGTCCTGCTCTCGGCTCTACTGCTCTAGCCTCTAGGCTGTAGCAGGTTTCAGTTTTGTGCTCTCTAGTCTCTGTTATTCTGTTTGACTGTGGACTGTGACTCTTTTAATCTGAAAAATGTGAAACTCTAATTTAATAGATTAATATTATAATTTAGATTTCAGATATAAATCTACAGTTCATCAGTTAGACAGTTAGATTACGTATGTGATTAAAATAATTTCAGAACTTCAGGTTTTGAGTTTTGAGTTTTATTTTTTTCATACGTGGGGCGTCATTTTGGTATTTAGAACAGGGCTTCTAAATTTGATTAGACCCCTCTAGTGATTTCTTGATGGGATTTTGTGTTTCTTGCAGCGATCATTAAGTGACGAATTAAGATTCCACGAAAATTTAGAGGTGTAGAGTTTTACTAATGGAGGCAGCCAATTCAAGGAGTTTACAATTCCCCTCATGTATTAATACTGCAAATAGGCTGCCAAGATCAATTGGTTCAATGAATTTCCCCAAGAGGTATTCTGAGCATGAGAGTAGTCCTATATCCGTTTCCTGTCATTTTCAACCCATAAAAGCTACAAGCCGACACAGACTAGCTTTACTGACAGCTTCATGCTCTTCTCAGAACACTCAAGGTAGTCATGACAATGACAATTTCTTCAAACTATAACTGCATCACAGCATCAAGGTCACTAGGACAGGTTTAAAGGAGGTGCTAGCATGGTCTTATTGAATATTTATTTATATTCTAATTTCTCTTTGCAGCTTCAGTGCTGCAATCTGAGAGCCCTCTTCCATCTCTAGATGAAGCTCAGGTTTTGAAGGTACATCTTGTCTGTTAGTGTCTTATTTGCAGTGCTTCAAATTGAGTGAGCCATTTTGATTTCTATGGATATTTGTTGCAAATTAAGGGCTCTTGCATTGCAATTCTCTATATAGATTTACCCATTTATCTTGCTGAGGCGATGAGTTATTTCTGTGACAGAGCAAATCAGGGGAGATTTTACCATATTTGAGTGGTAGATGTATATATCTTGTCGGTGAGCTCCATTGCCAACATTTTGTAGTATAGCTATTGGGCCCTGTTTGGTAGGCTTATTCTGCTTATCAACATAACAAAGCATAATAAGTAGAGCACTTGACTTGGCTATTTGGCTGAAATTGGTTTTACCAAACACTTTTACTTTCAGTAAATATAAACAGATTCTGCCATTTTAGCCAAATGGCCATTACTAAATGGGCATTACTGTCTATATTTCGATTCAATTGTCTGATATGCATATAACATCTCAGGAATGATGGGCTCTGGCAAAACAACTGTTGGCAGAATCATAGCAGAGGCACTCAACTATACATTTTTTGACTGGTAAAATGTCTAGAAAGCACATTTTAATCTAGTTAATTATTAAGTTTATATTTCACATATGTTTCAAAACCTCTAAGAAGTTATTAACTTTATATATCACATACGTTTGCCATGCAAGCAATAAGTATGTACATCATTTACCTTATACGATAGTATTTAATAATATGTAGTAATTCACATATGCTACATTTTTTTTAACTTCCTATAATTTTGTTCTTAATTTGTTTAAAAGCACACACCCAATATAAATAATTAAATAAGATTTATACCATGCATCACATGGGTGGAATACTAGTATAAGCTAAAGAAAAGAGGAGTACATGAACTTCACTGGACGTGACTGTGTTAAGCAAGTTGTGAGCTTCCATATTCTGTTAACATCTAATGACAAAGAATATATTTTCTCTGTGAATACTACTTCAGTGATACACTTATCGAGCAAGCTACTGGTGGAACAAAGGTTTCTGAAATCTTTAAGATACACGGTGAAGGCTTCTTTCGAAATAATGAGGTATAAGTAACACGGAAACCTTTTCACATCTCCCTTTGTCTATTCTTCTTTCATATGTGATATGTTGAAGCATTGATGCTTTGCATGTTTGATTTCTCTGAGATTCCCCACCACCAAAATTGTTATGTACCGCTGTGACAGTGTCGCTTCCTCCTACAAAATGGCAGCCACATGTTACACTGGAAGCTTAGAGAATATAATATATAAACATTTGTTCCTAGAGCTGAAAAATAAAAAATGGTTATTAATTATTTGTTTCTTGTATAGAATCATTAATTATTAATTATGGCCTCTACCGCTGCATTTTAGACAGAGGTCTTGCGCAAGCTTTCTTTGATGCGCCAGATTGTTGTTTCCACGGGTGGGGGGGCAGTTGTTCGGCCCATTAACTGGTACTTAATTCATGTATACAACGCAAACTCTTATTTTAGCATTTTCTTTGAGTTATCTGACTCTAGAATATTTAGCTGGTATTTCCCCCTGAATTTCACTCAGGAAATATATGCACAAAGGCATCACTTTGTGGTTGGATGTTAATGTGGAAGCATTGGCAAGGAGAATTTCATCAGTGGGAACTGGTTCACGGCCTTTATTACACAATGAATCTGGAGACATTTATGCAAACGTATAAAACTTAAATCGTCAAATTGCACATATGGCTACATGGGAATGGTTTTCAGTTTCTAATAATTTGGTGTAAATTGTTGTCAAAGAAGGAATACACATGTTTTTTTGTTCTGACACTTCTTTCTTCTCTCACAGACTCTGAAACGATTGTCTACGCTTTTGGCTGAGAGGGGAGATGCATATGCCAACGCCACAGCTAGGGTTTGCCTAGAAAGTGCGGAATTGGTTTCTTTCATTTTTTCCCTCTAATCTTTTACTTTAACTCATAATTTTGGTTTACTTTTGTTATTTCTCCAGTATATTACTGACATTAAGTCATGAACTTTTCAGATATTGCTGCAAAGAGGGGATATGGGGATATTTGCAACATCACTCCTACAGAAATTGCCATTGAGGTCTCTCTCTCTCTCTCCCTCCCTCCCTCCCTCCCGTCACATGCACATCCAATTCCGTTGCAATTTCTTCATTTATTAAACACACATTAAAATTTGGTTTAGAATGCAGGAAAAGAAAGTTGCTTTTTGTGGCTTTTCCTATGCTGCTTACATTGTTAGCCACTTAGCCCAAATTGAGCCTGCGTAGCCTAGACCTAACCTTGGTCCCCAAGCTACAGCTGTCCTCCCAGTGCTTTTTAGAACATAAGGAGTACGAAATATCTGTCCCAAACGATATTGTCCCACTTTCCAATTTTCTGATGTCCCATTTTTATTTTCTCATTTCCTAAAATGGTCAAAACTGAATGACCCACACTAATTTTTTTCAGTGATGTCATCTTAAAAACGTCGAAGATGATGCTATTTGCTTAACAAGATCAACAACAACATCCAGATCTTATTCTCAGAAGAGTTTGTGTCAGCTAACTTGAATCGACATATGCTATCAGAGTTAATAAACATTAGATAGAGAAAGAGGGAGACTAACAATATGACAGAAATCTTCCACATATGCTCTTCCTCAACTTCTCCCTCTAAAACAACTAGTATCATACGTAATATCATTTATATAATTTCTGCAAAATGACCTGAGAAAAAATAACTGTGGGATGGACTGGCATTGGCACTATGTAGAAAACAATAAGGTATTGATAATCTAACTTAGCCCTACTCGTTGGCAGGCACTTGAAGAATTAGAAAACTTCTTGAAGAAAGAAAGTGGAGAAGTGCAGTGAGCTACAAATTGAAAACTCGTGGAAGACAGGAAGAGTCTAGAAGTGCATTAGCTCTATTTTACACCCACACCCACATTTTGATCAGTGATCTTGGACTTGATGTTTCTTCTGATTGGGTACGAGAGAGCTTCTATGCTTTCATTTTGTCTTTCTTCTGCCTTTTATTCTCAGCCCAACCATGACATGTAGTATTTAATAAAGGAGGGGCTTCAAGTCTAAACTTATGCAGAATTTTTTATATCCCTTGATCAGTTAGTTGATGTATATTTGTGTAACAATTTTCTCATCAAGTTATATGTTCATTTTTATAAAAGTTTTAGTTTAAAAGAGACTATGACTTCTATGATGCTTATGTTAATTAAATTAATTCTTGTGGAATTAAGCTGGGGGTGGAAAACGGTTCAAGGATAGCATTGAAATATTGTCATATTTTTAATCTTGTTATCTCATACTTTTCCTTTTTTAAATATGAGGGTGGATTTTATCATCTTGAACACATTAAGGGGTTGCACTTGTTTTTAGTATATTTTCGCATTTGAGGAATTAAAACGGAGTAATTCAATTGCGCTATAGATAGTTTGAGAAGCAATAAAAAAGATCTGAAGCAGCAGGAATATTTACTAAAGTGAAGCCGTTTATCGTAAAAAAGAAATAATAACAAAAATAATACCATCACTTTTTCGATTGATAGACATGGGATCAATTTTAATTTGGCTAATTTGAAAATTTTAACATTCAAAACCCTAAGTTCAAAATGAGATGAAATGAAGTTTGATTTACCTACAAGAAAGAAGAAAGAGTGTTGAAGATGAAGATGGAGGTTTGCCGGAGTGGGGTCGCCGGAGATGAAGGTTCGCCGGAGATGGAGGTTCGCTCGATCGTCGTTCGTCCTTCATCGCTGCGGCTTGAGGGATTTGGGGATTGGGTTTACGTCGTTCTATTTTGTGGTTGGCCGATATTTTTACTTAAGGGAAAGTCGTCCAACGGTTGAGTGACTTACCCCGACCATGGTTAACCTAGCAGTATATTGGTAACTACTTTTAACCCAACCCTATTTTCGTAAATAATTAATTAATTAACATTTATGCATTCCAAGCATTGACCATTAACGTGCTATTCTGATAACAACTGAAATGCTCCCGGGGACTTGGTCGGAATGGAGGTATACGAGATAGAGTTGTTATACCGTGGGGCTCTCACAATTAAAACACGCGTGAACTGTATATAGATGGTAACTTTTCCCCAGTAATAAGGTGATGTAACTCACGTGTAAATAAATGTAAATAACGAAAAAATGAGTCTAATTGATCAATTACTTTACGTAAATAGTTAAGTTTAATTTTTAATATCAGAACTATAAAAAATGATTTTAAGAAAACCTTTTTTTAGTTCAATAACAAGGTTTTTGAACATAATTATGTAACTCGCGTTATGCTAAATGTAACTTATATGCAAAATTAACTTGTTGAGTCAAGTTCAAATGGAAATTGCGAATCAGGAAAGGCAATTTGCGCATAAAAATACGTAACGCGTTTATAAAAAAGATAAAAACCGTCCATAAAAATATGTAACACATTTATAAAAAGATATAAATCGCACAAAAAAATATAACTCGCGCATAAGATGTAGCTCATACATAAAAAGATGTAACTCACATATAAGAAAATGTAACTCCATATACTATCAAATTAACTTGAAGCATTGAAATAAACAAACTCGATTTCTGAAAAAAGCTCTACAAATATATAAAAGGCATAAAAAATATATTACAAAAATGTGTATGAATATAAAAATATTACATAAATAATATTAGTGTATGAATATGAAATGTTATATACTTATTTATGTAGATTAATAAATTTTTTGTCATAAATAAATTGATAAAGAATAAAAAATAGATTGAGTTGTAATTTATGTTAAAGATAAAGAAAAGTAAGTTCCAATTACATTTTTAATTATACTTTGATGGAGAAAGAGAAAGAAATGAAAAATAAAGAACAAAAAGCCAAGGAAAAACAAAATTGATGCACTCTACTACTTAAAGTAGAAAAAGAAAGAAAAAAGATAATATGTATTAGTGCCTTGTGGATCAATACCCGGTTCGCACGGTGTAACGATCCCACCTCACGAGAATTGTCCTGACAAAGCAGTAACAATGGTCAATCTTGATTCCATCATCGCCTCCCTGCTACAGAATGTCGATGACCTCCAGTGGAAGGTGCTCGAAGGACAAGGGAAACCCGTCATCCCGATACGAACAAAAACACCTTTACTTCAACGATCATCTTCATTTCCATTACAGTAAATAGAGAGAGCTGGAAAATCAAGACCTATGACGATCAAACGGACTTTTGAGCATGCTTAATTAGTCCATATTATTAAATATGGATAAATATAAGTGAAATTAAAAACATTCTAAATGAAAATACCAATATTTTTTCCCTCGCAAATACTCTAATTAATCGTATGGAATAAATATACTCGTATTTCATGAACGCACAGTTGCAAATTTGAGAAAAGAGCAAAATTTTCAAATTCCCGCGAAATTTCACCGGCTGTGAGCCCAATCGACTTCCACGTGGTGAGATGTTATTCGATATCGTTTCATTCCGAGGATCGCAATCTGAAGCACGACACCTGATCCAATCGGAACCGCTAAAGTTGAAATTAATCAACGGTTGGCGCAGACGCTAACTGAAAATCCAAATCAAAAGGCTCTATAAGAACCCGCCTGCATTTCCGTAAGCATATCACCATCATTTCAAAGCAAGCCTTCAATCTCCGAGTGCGAATCGATTTTTGTAAGGCTACAAATGGCTCGTACCAAGCAGACAGCCCGCAAGTCCACCGGAGGGAAGGCTCCCCGTAAGCAGCTCGCTACTAAGGCCGCCAGGAAATCAGCTCCGGCCACCGGAGGAGTGAAGAAGCCTCACCGCTTCCGCCCAGGCACAGTCGCGCTGAGGGAGATCCGGAAGTACCAGAAGTCTACGGAGCTTTTGATCCGGAAGCTTCCGTTTCAGAGGCTCGTGAGGGAAATCGCTCAGGACTTCAAGACGGATCTGAGGTTTCAGAGCAGCGCCGTGTCGGCCCTCCAGGAGGCGGCGGAGGCGTACCTGGTCGGGCTCTTCGAGGATACCAACCTTTGTGCCATTCATGCCAAGAGGGTCACCATTATGCCCAAGGATATGCAGCTGGCAAGGAGGATTCGCGGGGAGAGGGCTTAATCCACGAAATCTTGGGCGGTTCTATCGAATGTAATGAAGTTTTTAGATGTTCAATTTCAATCAGTCAATGAAATCACCTTTTAATTAGAATTTGTTATTGATATTCTGGTATCTTCTCGTGTTCAGATATTCATTTGACTTTGGTTTCTCTAATCCATTGTTCCTCATTTGCAAACAACAAAAACGTAATTGTGCGAACCACACTTTGTACCATGGACTTTGAATCTTCAAGGAATTTCAGAATTGGTTGAATAATTGTTGTCCCTAAATTAAATCTTTTATTTTTATTTGCCCGGGAAATGAATGAATCACAATCCGTATTTCAGATTGTGTGGTTTAATAATGGAAAAACGTAGTGTAAGATTGTGGAAACTGGAAAGAAAACAAGTGTTCCAAACAACCCTTCTTTATAAAAGTTTAATGCAATTTTTGATGTTTTTAGTGAAAAGTATTCGATTTGAAACAGTATATGAAAGCTTGCAAACATTCTAATTGCATTCCAAAGGTAGCAATTTTCTGGTTTTCTTGGTAATTCAAAATACATTTGGTGCCAATGGGCTAATATTTATGATTAGGCTTGTCATTTAACATTTAATTAGGTTTAACCACACAATAAAAAATGTCAGTAAACTTAAGGGGAAAGCAGTTAATAAAACATATAAATAAATCACAAAATTTTAAAGCCATATGCCACCCAATTCATTCTTAAGCTGTATAATGTCGTGATTTACATGTTGTACTATTGGGAATTTGGAGCGTGCCACCATTCTAATGTGCAAAGCTTCTTCCCAAACCAAAAGGTGTGGGTTATATTACTCTCTCAGCCCCTTATCAAACAAGTGCCTGAATGTGGGATTGTAAGGACAGATATATGATGAAATATCCTTGATAAACACAACTTATAAAATTGACAAGTTTGTAAGAGGGAATAGGAAGAGGGATGGATATATATGGAAGTGCGAGTAACTGATTTGTGGAATTAGAGTCCATATTATCTCACAACTATGATAAACAAGGGATGGAAAAATATTTAATGTATTTACCCTTAAAAGTATCACACTAAACCCATCTTCTAATCATAAATAACATTCCTACATCTAGTGGTGCAACCAGAAATAGTGTATTGGGTGGACAGGTGGGAGCCAAATCTTCATATTTGAACATACCATTCTATAACTTATAATAATATATGTAAACCCACACATTATTTACACACATACCATTCTATAAGGTAATATTGAGTACAACTAATTCTCATATATGTACACATTATTATGGGAGGAGGTACAAAGTAAGGATTGTGGGAAATGAATATGTACTTTGATCTTTGTCTTATACTCATATATGACCCCCAAGTTTATGTCTTCAACTGGATGGGTTACATGTATGGGTAGTGAGGCAAGCAAGCCCAGCATGAGTTGGAGTTAGGACAGCAACACCAAACATGCATGCATGTTCTCTGCTATATATACACTTGTGATTCTTTCTCCTAGCTCTATACATTCCAACACATGTGAGTACATACGTACACTGAAATTTTTATATAAATAATTGATCGAATGATGAAGAGATATTACGGCGTTTGGGTGGTGGCATTGGCGGTGATGATAATAGGTGGTAGCCTGGTGCAGAAGAGCAAAGGATCCCCGCCTTGCGGTTCCACATTTGTGTCAGCAATCATCCAGCTGCTCCCCTGCAGGCCCGCAGTCTCCCCTTTTAGGCCCTACCCGCCAAGCGAGGCATGCTGTGCCGCTGTGAGGTCACTAGGGCAGCCGTGCTTGTGCGTCATTCTCAATGGCCCTCCCATCATAGGCGTTGATCGCAACATGGCTCTCCAGCTCCCTGACAGATGCACTGCCAACTTCGAACCCTGTATGTATCTAACTATCTACCTACCCCCCCACATGGTTCTGCTTCTATCAGTTTGTTAGTTGGTGTCTGTTTGTCTACTTACTTTGTTCAGCATAAGATTATTTTGATGCACTAAAATATTCTCGATTCCTGCTAAGTGCATCTCATTATGCTAGCTAGCCCATTATTAAACGTATATTAGGTGAACTACATGTATTCCTAGCCACATTTGATCCTTCCCAACATTTATCCAGACATTTTTTTATTAATTGCAAAGGATCAAATTTGTCATCAATCCATAGTCGACTGAAAGTGAACCCCCATCTAATTTAGCTAAGGTTGAAGGACTAATCTGATGTATGACTGTTTCAACTTGTGCAGGTGAAATGGGGAAATAATGTGGAGAACAATCGATAGAAAGATGACACAAGCAATGCATATGGAGACGGAGAGCATAGATCTTTTAATCACTAGACTAGAGCGAGATGATATATTTGTCGCACTGATTATTATTGGGTATTTTAGATCTAGTTTTTTTAACTTTAACTTTCAATAAAGTGAGTAGTGGTTATGCTATGAGTCCCTTACTCCTCATGTTCAGTTTACCTTGTCATTTAATCTCCACTTTATGGATTCCAAATCAAACTTTATTTCTGTTTAATACTTGTTGCAGTCATAGGATGCAAACTTATCGACCTATACAGAAAATCAAAATCTACGGAAGTCCTTTTAGTTCCATTTTGGTAGTTTTCTAAAATCATCGATGATATACTTGAATCTGGATCCCGACATATATAATGAATTAATGATTAGGATTTAAGGCATATATGGCTCAAGTTGTGTCTTCAAACAATTTGGATGTTATATTAAGTTTCTGCTTGCCAGTTGGGGACCAAAGCTAGTCAAAATGTGATGCACTTCCTCGACTTATTATTCATAGATTGCGAAAAGATTTTATGTCTTCAGTTAGCTGACACAAAAGCTATTTATACCCCAATTCATACGTGCATGAGGGAATAAAGGTTTATTAAATCATTTCTATCATCAGATAAATCTTTCTATCCCGGTCCTTAGCTGCCATCAATTTTTGTTTACATGGAACCAGAAACTCAATGCATATGTTTAAGTGAGTGATGCCACTTGAAAAAGACATAGATCGGTGACACATGGAATAACCAAGCAATAAAAAGCTCTGATAATGTACAACGGTTCATAGAAGATCTATTGATTGAAAGCACAAAAAAGAATTAATGTTCCATATCTTGATGGCAATTAGAAACCATTGTAGTTATCAAATTTTGGAGTATTGGAATCATCCTTCAAAATATTTAAGATGAGATATGAACACAGCACTTTTTTAATCTGACGGCGAAGCTACAAAATAATGATAACTAACATATAGAAACTGCTCTGATATGACACTGATCAATATGGAAATCATTTAGAATATGAATGCAAAATTAGGTTGAAAGATGGCTTAAAGTGTACCTTACATGCCAAATACATATGTTACAACTTCCATTAGGTTACAAATTCTCTTCAAATGATCACTTTCAATCTCATCCATCTAAATATCCATCAATGATCCACAATCTCCAAATTAGTTATAATAAATAAACAAGACAGACTGACAGAGGAAGTTCGTATTTATTGAATTATGTGCTAATTGAGTTCTAATATTTGTGTGCAAGTAATACTTTAATTGTAATAAAAAGTTCCTCTTGAAGTCACATTGTACTATTGTAGCAAATTACAATGTCACGAACAACCGGTATAATGTGTTACATCTATCAATACAATTGCATCTCAAACTTTACCAAATTCACGTGAATGTGTGTGTCATCAATAGAACTCAAGTTCATTACAAAAACATCTACATATGGTTTGACTGAACGGTGCAGATTAGTAGATGTAACTCATGAAGATCTGCAGCATCCAGATGCACTCCCAGAGGATACAGGTTGCTCATCATGTCCAGAAACAGCAATCTGAGTTCCCTTGAGAAGTAATGATCTTCCAGATGACTCTTCAGCTTCTTCATTGGCAACAAGAGATTTTTTGCTGGCAACACGATAAATCTCAGTAAGGAGGTTAAGGAAAGCCATCTCAACATTAGTCGAGTCTAGTGCAGATGTTTCAACAAAGAACAGGTTCTGCTTCTCGGAGAACTCCTTGGCAACCTCTGTAGGTACACCTCTATCACTCTCAAGGTCAGTCTTGTTACCCACAAGTATGATCACAAGGTTCTTATCAGCATGGCCCCTCAGTTCCTCTAACCACCTCGCCACATGCTCAAATGTTTGATGTTTGGTGATATCATAAACCAGCATTGCTCCGAGTGCACCCCTGTAGTATGCACTTGTCACTGCTCGGTACCTGAGAAATCAAACCAACTAAAGATTCAGTTTCTTAAGGGTCCGTTTCTAACCCGAAAAAGGCTGGGAGAGAAAATAAAAAGGAAAATAGAGAAGAAATCTGAAAGGAAAGAAAAAAATCAGTTCAAACTCAACAAATACATTTTAGATGTTTATTCAAACTCATTTTATTTGTATATATTTATAATCAAACATTAAGAAACTATTCTACATGGCAAAACTTCCTCTTTTCCCTACTATTTTCCTAGATTGTAGGATGTTAAGAGAGTTGACCAAACATATACCCATTTGGTCAACTGTGGAAGGCTATCAAGGAGGCTAGGATAATCACACAGTGCTTGTGCATTGCATGGTAGTTGTAGAGCCAATGTGCCCTTAATATTTCCAGCCCCTAATTATATTAAATCTGTACATAGTATGTAAAGGCATAACATATCATATATCAGATATTAATAACAAAGAGAAGATCCTTAAGTACATCCAGTGTGATAGAATGCAAGCTTTTTTAGTTCAAAGAAATCTACTTGTACTAAATATGCGCGACCATCCAGTTAAGTACTAAGTGATAAAGATATGCCAAAAAGCTGAAACGCTTCCATATAGCACATAATTAATCACTAAGTTTATCAATCTCATCAAATAAGACAATTAATCATATAATCTAATCAAGTCAATGCAACCCAATGAAATTAATCGAACAACCAGCTTTAGATCAAATACCATGTAAATGCATCTAATCAATAGATTCAACAAGGTCAAACAAACAAAATCAAATCGAGTTTAAGTGTGTTTGTACAAACCTTTCTTGGCCGGCTGTGTCCCAAATCTGAGCCTTGACGCTCTTGTGATCGATGACAACGGTCCGAGTCTGGAATTCAACTCCGATGGTGGCCTTGGAGTCAATGCTGAAGTTGTTCTTGGCGAAGCGGGCCAAAAGCTGCGACTTCCCGACAGCTGAATCTCCGATCAGGACAACCTTGAATACGTAGTCAATCTTCTGATTGGAACCCCCTCCACCGCCACCATAAATCATCGACATCTTATGAATTAGGTGGGGAAACACAATAACACGATCGTTGAAGTTGGCTACAAAAAGGTTATGAGCTTTTAGGTCGCCGAGATTTATTAGGGCTGGATGAAGTGGAGAAGATGAAAGAGACAGCACGGAAGCACAGCGGAATTGAGTGGTTGAACTGAGGTGACTCAGTTGTCCGAAGTTTTAGTGTAAGTTGGACTTGGCGGCGAAGTTGGAGAGAGAACACGAAAACGCATCCCGCGGCGTGACTAACGGCTTTTTGCCGGTCGCTATTTCAGATATTTTAAAAATAATTGCTTCAATAACACACAAACTATAAAAATAAGAAAATGAGTAGTAAGAATTACTCTGAAAAAGGTCGATCAAATTGACTTTCACGTGTATTAATAAAGTAAAAACCGTGTGGTTGAAATTTGTACAGAGAAGAGAGAATTAATTTTAGCCATATATTCCTTACTTTAAATGAAAATGACAAATCTTTTTTGGACATCCAAAAAAAGAAATTTGGCCAATCTTTTCCGGACGGAGGAAGTATTATGTTTTATTCAAGAAATAGGCCCCATTTGATATAATTAAAAGTATAATCATATCTTATTATCAAAATAAGAGTTTTGTATCCTATTAAAGTATAAAACTTCTCAATTAGGAACGAACGAGATTATCGTAATCCTGACACAATTTTGGTGAGTATCAACACAACAATGGTTATATGCAATAACAATCGTCACGTTCAAATCCAACCGTACAAAGCAACCCGTCAATTCCGGTCCCCGCACTATAATAGCATTTCACGCACATCTTTATGTAATTCTTTTGGATCATCGCACAATACGAGCTATATTATTTTGAGTACTACTAACCGATTTGCATGTTCTTCCCGAGTGGATGAGATGCTTGGTTTTGTTTCACCTCACATTGAGTATCAAATGATTCAAATCTACTACTCTCCAGGTCACTCTACTATTCAACGTCCTCCTTATTTTACTCTCGTGTATGTTCCTAATATAGTTGGTCCATAAGGTGAACATAAAGATGCTCTTTGGTATTCAAATTCGAGTGCCTCGGCTCATATATGTGTTAATGAAAGTTTTTTGTTCAATAGATATAATTATTCGGGTCCTCATAATATTACGGTTGCTAACGTTACTTAGGGGTGCCTTCGCTGGCAGGTCGGATGCTTGAGCTCCCTCCACCCAGAGATGATAAACGTCTCCCTTGTGAATTGGTAGGCCAGCTCTAGACTGGAGTGATAGGTAGGCTCCCGAATGGGCTGACAATATCCTAGCTAGATTGATAGGCAGGCTCCAGGTAAGGCAGATAGGCCGATCGAGCACGCAGGCCAGTCGTCTTGCACTCTTTGTCCCGTGGACTTGCTTTCCTTATTGGGTCACGCTTGAGCTCTCTAGGCTCTGATTTTGGTTCCATAACTCCATCATTTTTGAACGTAAGCACATTCATCTTCTTGAATTGATTTGTACCGTGCTAATTCATTTCCTCGCAAGTTGACTTATCCTCGTTCGATACACCTCCGCAGGTCCACGCACTCCGCAAGGACCTTCGTAGGTAAAATTTACATTTTTGGTTGACTTCCTGAAGGTCATGCCAGTATCATGGTCGACCACCACTTCATCATCCAGTTAGCCAAATCAGTCATATTAATGTGTTAATTTAACAGGTGTACTCAATTAAAACTAAACAATCCAGTTTATGTACTTAGAAATGTCAAATGAAATATAATGTACTCTTTATCTCATACAAATTGGTGTAGTCTAGTTGATCATTTACTCTTTAAAAACTTACTAAGCATGTTTTCTTTTGAATTATTTTCAGTCCGTAGTTATAAAATACACAGAAACGAGACGTGTAACAGACCAGACCAGATAAACAAATTCAGATTAGACCAGACGAGACGAGGCCAAACATAAGCATCCTAATACTCCAATTTTATCTCAAATTCCCAATTAGACCGTTAGGATTTAGGGAGTGTTTGGAACTGATTCTGCTTCTGCTTCTTTTTTTTTAAAGCAGAATCAAAATTAGTTTTCAAAAGTCGTTACCCTTCATATTCTAAAAAATCCGATTCTATAAGTAAATTAGAGTAACAGAATCGGTTCTGCATTTTCACTCAACCACTCAACTTCTTCTTTAAGAATCAATGCAAACACCCCATTACAATTCCAGCTTCATAGATTCCACCTATGGTGGCATGGTGCTGAACTACAATTGATGAGCCAGAAGTCAAGTGTGCAGAGTCGACGGCGGAAGAGGTAGAAGAAGAAGAACAGTTATTCGCCCAGTAGCCGGAGACAGACATGACGTCTGGCTTGAAAACCTTGAGCCCCATCGCTATACCTCTCCGTCTCTGGCCCAAAGCTTCTCTCTTTCACTCTTCTCACCAGAAATTGCATTTACCAATCCCGAGATCTGCTTCTCTCTTTTATCCACTATGCACACTGCGTAAGTAACTACCTTTAATAAACTTTAGAGTTCGAATTTCTTTTCCCTTTTTCGCTAAATATGAATATGAAATTTCATTATATAAAATAAAGACTAGTTTCTTTTAGCAGAAACGAGTGGCCCAAGAGCGTTGCCTAAGGGGGTCGGCGAAGCTGTTAATGAAGCTTCAAAGAAGAACAGTTTTCTTCAAGTGGTTTTAGTTTCTCCTCAGGTTGATAACAGAAATTCGATCTTTACATCTTTTGGTTGATATATGTCTGACATAAATCCTACTGTAATCTCTAGTCCTGCTGCATTATTACATGTAGATGATTTAATATTGGGCTATGTGTGTTCTCAACCTTTTCATATTCAATAAGATTCTGGATATGATTTGATAATCGGATTTTCTGGAAATGGTTCAACACTTCAAATGCATTAATAAGGTTTCTTATTTCATTGATAATAACGGAGTATTAGAGTGTTTCTCGATTAAATATGACTATTGGACAGCATAACTAACCATTTTCATGTTTTCAAAGAGAGAAAACTAACTGATCATTTTCAAAGTTACATAGTGTGGCTGCTGAAGTGCTGTATGACACTGAATGCAGTTTTGGGTAAGTAGTTCAGCAGTTTTTTGGACGAAACAATCTATTCAATGAAATCCTAAATATAACCCGTGTTAATCTATCTGTAATACGGAAGACCAAATTTACATCATTTAAGACGATTGAATGACCAGTCATAAAAAGTAAATGAAAGTGTCCAAATTACACGATTGGAAATAACAGCGGAATGAAAACCGGGTTTTGTGTCATTAGAACATCATCTATTATCTATAGATAACTTCAATATAAGCTCTCTTTTACATATGCAGCATGTATTGAAAATGAAGGACTTATTGTCTGAAATATGTTTGACAATCTCATTGAGCAACCCATAATCTTGATTTCATTTTAGTAGTTGTGAAAGTTTAACCCATACATAGTTGATATAACCCAGTCCACTGGACTGGTTTAAGCTAAAGTACTACGTCTTGTTATTATCTGGTGCTTTACATTTTAGGTAATCCTTGAGATAGAATCTGCACACTAAACTGTTTCCTTATGATCCTTTGCTGTTAATAGATTCCTGGGAATGTTGGAAGTATTGCAAGAACATGTGCAGCATCAGGTGTTAAACTCCACCTAGTTCAGGTATACATGTACAATGTTTATAGGCTGAGTATGCTTTCCCAGTGTTCAGTTTCTTATTAGTAAGTCAACTATTATCTGCTTTGTTCTTTGCCCTTTTCAAGCCATTAGGGTTTGCAATTGATGATACAAAGCTAAAGCGAGCTGGACTTGATTACTGGCCGTATCCTTCATTCCTTTGCAACACCCCAATAATATAACTTACACTTCTGTAGAATTTGTTACCAACCCACTGGTTGATCATTTAAGAATATGCTGATTTCTTGCTAAGTATCTCCACACATTTGTTTTTCCAAACCATCATCATCATCTCTACTATCACCTCATCACATTAATACCAACTATGTTTCTGTGGAGATACCAACTAAGTATCTCCACACATTTGTTTTCCCAGTGACAGTTAATCCTCACAATATATTTAACACTAACTTTTCAAAGAAAGAATAGTGGTGAAGTTTTACGCTTTACGCCCTTCATGTTTAAAGCAGGAATAAATGAATAATGAGATGAAAATTTAAAACTGTAATCAACTAATCATAGATCTTATCAGCTTACATAAAGGTATGATTAGAGATTATGAGTTGTGATAGTCATGCTTCATTGCAAAGTTGATATCGTAAAATCAGCATGCATATCATGGAACATGACCGACATTCTTTAAACCTACACAGGGTGAATTTTACTTTTTCTCATTATGTTTATCAATGAAGACTACACTTTCTCTGAGTCTCTGAGAAGAGTGACAAAATTTGTGAGCATAATTGCGTGGTGGAGTATGATAGACTTAGATGTGTATGAAAACATGCAATGGTAAATGCATGCATACAGAGATGGATCAAAGGAAGAGCTGATGGCTGGTATAGTGTGTACTTGTTGCTGTCTTGATTTGTCCTTTCATTATTCTAATTGGTAGCTAGTAAAGTTTTCAACTTTTAACTCTTCAATTCAGATATGTTGTTGTGAAAGTGCATCTGTCCTGGTCTGAATTTCTGGTCTATTTCAGCAGACAGGTTTCTCTTTTCCCTCAAATCTTAGTGTAATATCAAAATTCTATGTTTTTCGTTGATAAAATATTGATATGTATATATATCCCCTTTACAGATTGGGGAAAAGAGGCTTTTGGCATTTACTAAAAGTGGGACAACCATACATTCTGTGAGTAGTACGGTAGTACCACATGTTCGTGCATAGTTACATTTTTTGGCTTTAGATTCTCTAAATCCAAAATTATATTAAAAATCAGGGTTTTCTGTGCTTGGTTTGCATTGAAAATAAAGCCAGGAATAATGATCTTGGGGCTATTAACAAAATTTATGTATTATAAGAACTAGGAAGCACACATGGCTAGCAATGTTAAGATTTAAGAGTATATTTTATAGTTTAATGAAGAACAAGTTTGCTAAGAACTACTCCATATGTACTTTGATTTCAATGGTTATTTATGGGTTCACAGCCTACCATAAGGGGCCGTTTGGAACACGGAAAATACTAGGCAAAGAAAGAAAGCACACAGGTAAATAGAGAAGAAAATCTGGAAGAAAAGAAAATATATAGGAGAAAATAAATGTTACACTCAACTATATATTTATATATATTCAAACTCATTTTATATGCGTACTATTTATTTCTATTATGTCAAGACTAGAAAATTAAGTATATTTATAATTTATCTAAATTAACATATTTTATTTTCTTTAGCATTGTCCAAGGTAAGAACCAAACACTCGAAAGTCACTTTCCTTTAGTTATATTTTACTCTAGTATTTTCTGGGTCCAGGCATATCCTAAATGGAGAAAGTAGGAACTTGTACATTGGGGCAACCAGATAGTCTGGTTTGCCTTGCATGAGGATGATCAGAGATAATTTGGGTACCATGCACTTTTATTGAAGGATCTAGATGTTATGCTAATGTCTAAATATGAAATAATGGTCAGGACTTATGCTACAGAAGGGGTGATTGGCTGGTATTTGGCTCAGAAACTAAAGGGTTGCCCCCCGAAGCTGTACTTGATTGCAAGAATGAGCCTCTTGGTGGTGGAACCGTTCGCATCCCAATGGTGGACACATATGTTAGGTGTTTGAACTTATCTGTGAGTGTTGGCGTGGCTGTGTACGAAGCTTCTCGACAAATAGACTACGAACAACTCCAATCTTTGCCTGAAGAACCTCATACATGTATAGATCCATCTTTTTTCAAGGAAGACATTTTTGCCTAATTTCTCTTCTGATTCCCTCTTTGATGTTCAAGTTGAGTTGTCACTGTACTTGCTAAAATTGAGGTGCGAAAAAAAGATGGTTGGGCGCATGAAAGAAGATGCAGAATGCATCAATTATGAATGTGCATAAAAACTTCATATCAAACACGTCCTTGCTCTGCACGAGGGAGGCGCTGGCAGAGGATGTAGTGTACAAGCATACGAACTGGGGCATGTATCTTTATGTCATATAAGTCGCTTTACAAACTGACCTATTTCATTTTGTAGCTCAAAGGTGGCAGAGACATTTGATTGGCCTGGACCTCGATAGGCAGTTTGTGCCACTGGTCTATGCCGAAGCATTATGGTTTAGGCCTTGATAGGTGTATTTCATCCTTCCCTGATGGACTTGCTAAGACGATTAGGGCGGCCACTACCCGTCTACCCGTCTTTCAGAAGGCAGTTAGCAAGCTTCATCGACTGAATGACTAGGTGCATGCGCCCTCTGTGATTGACTATGCTGTTGTAATCCCGTCACCAGACAGCTGCATTAGCTGGTGGTGTTACGTTAGCTGATTGTGTTAGGCTTTAGGCACAAGTTTGGCTTAGCTACATGACCACATGTGGGCTAACATGTGTCCCTGACACACCCAACATATATGAAATGATGGCAGAGCTAGAATATATGGTTGAAGCACCCGCAATGCACTAGCAAAGTGTCATATTTAAAGGGTGTATTTCACACAGGCCACACATAAACGCGACAACCTCTTTCGTGTTCTAAATTAACAACTCGATACTTGAATTAAACTCCAGAAACTAATTTAAACTTATATACTGGTGTTATCTTGTTAATGAATCATTGGGATCTGTTTCTGTTAGGAAATTGATGTAACGTACCTCGAAAGTACGGCAGCGGAAGTTTAAAATTTTCCCAAACAGATCTTCCTGATTATGACAAAATAACGAATATGATAATAATAACAGATCTGAGTTAGAACTTACAGATCTTCCAGCTTAGCGGTGATAATCCTTGACCTTTGGTATCCATGTGATTTCTCCTTTCCGAAAGAACGGTTAGATCTCCCTAAGAGAAAGACTAGGAAATCTCTTCGCAGGGAAATAAACTGGTAATACTGAATCTTAAAACTGGTCTATAAATTATGAAGGAGGAGGGTGTATTTATACTAGTTCTAAACTAGTTTCCCAATCACAATGAAAGTGTTCTTCATTAATGAGTTCTAATCCTAACATGACTAATATCATTTATTAATTAAATAAAGATATAAATAATAATAACAAAACTAGTCATACGTATTAAAGAAGAATGGGGGTTGCCGCCACCCTCATCTTCTTAAAAGACTTATTATTATCATTTTATATTTTCTTTAACACACTAATTCTAAATTGTGCACAAGAAAATATCAACTTTAATTAATTATAAATACATCTTAATTAAGTATAATAAATCTAATTTATTCCACTTAATTAATTCTATCAAATAGAACTCTCCTTCAACTTCATGAAATAAATATGTTTAATCTAATTAATATTTAATCCATTTTCAGTATTACTAATTAAATATTATTTAATCCAATTAATAATATTTAATTCCTTCTAACAATTCAATCGGAAGGTATAATCACTTGTTGTGTGACCCATAGGGCCTTATATATTAAGCACTAATCAAATTAAGGTCTTAGTAGAATCCCTAGACGATTTACCAGACAAACTTAATATATAAGGACGTTTGCGAGGACTATTCAAACTCCCTGTAATATAGAGCTCATAGTGATACGGTCCTTTCATTCAGCGAACATTCAACTAAGTCTAGAACATGATATAGTGTCTAGCCCAATAACTCAGTCTCTGTCTCTCAATCTTTCTAGATGATCCATAACGATCATATTCGATATCCAAAACGAATATATCTTTGCATTGGCCAATGACTTTATGATCCATCTAGATATGAGAAGTAGAATGTTCTCTCTTAATCTATTATGAGGAATGAATCCTTTCTTGGCTCAACTACTACTCCATGTGCTTCGTGATGCACCCAACACATGCCGTATCTACCCCGATTGGAGTGCAAGCGTTGGTCATGGTCAAAGTACATTACTCCGCACATGTAGTACGTATTGACCTCAAGTCGGAGGACTATTACACTACTCTATACGCCGATAATCTCATAGACACATGAATAGAACTTATCAAAAGGTTTCTCGGTGGGTATGCCAATATTCTCTAAAATATCTATGTGACCATCATGAATTACAGGAACTCATAGTCGTGAGATCAACTATACTTTCTAAAAGTATGATGCAGTCCACATACCAATCTTATCCCATATCATCAATATCCCATTCTTGATGATCATTGATTGGAGCTATTTTAGGACCTTATGTAACATCATATAAGCTCCCACTTACTTATTGACAACATAAGTCCAAGGGAACACAATTATGAATAAGATATTGACAATTGAAATACTTAATCGTCAATGTGTAATACCGTATATATCAAATATATAAAACTGAATGTGATCAAGTACATATATCTCTAAAAAGTGATTGTCGCTAGGACATATATACTAACAATCTCCCACTTGGCCTAGTGCCAATCACCGATGCGTCTAACACCTAGTCTCTTAAAAGTCTAGTATGTTTCTCGCATCTCAAAGGTTTGGTGAATGGGTGAGCCAAATTGTCCTCTACGGGAAGGCATTCTATTGCAACTTCTCATCTTGCTATTTGTTATCAAAACATGATAGCATACTGGTATTTTCTAGTTCCTTACTTCGCATCTTGGTTCCTTAGCTTGTGCAAATGCACCAGGTACAATCACAATAACAATTATTGGATAACTGTCGCTAGGAACTACCCCTGTGTCTTTAAGGAACTAACATATTTAAACGTTTACCTGTGTTGTATCAAATGCAACAATTTACTAGGCTCTAGTTGTCGAATTTATAGTAGTTTCTAACTTGTAACTCTTTCAGCACTACTATTACATTGAGACTAAAAACATATATTGACTGTGACTCGTAGTCTTTCTTATCATACATGAAACTAGTGCTAGAATAATTAAATTCTACTAGTCCTTTCTGTCTACCATAGACAAAAAGATGTTCATGAAGATTTTGGGTGACCATCCTTTCACGGACTTCAATGAGGGGATATCATTCTCTATGATCAACATATATCATTACAAAGACCACGCTATCCTTGTTGCGCACTCTAAACACGCAAGCATCCTCATTTCATTTGATGAGGTCAATTGATTTGACTATTTCATCAAAATTAATATTTCAACTCCTAGAGGCTTGTTTTAGCCCGTAAATAGATTTCTCTAATTAACATAATGATTTAGAATTTTACATGGATGCAAAAGCCTTCAGGTTGTACCATGTACACCTCCTCCTTGAGGTTTCCATTAAGGAAATGGGTTTTGATATCCATTTGTCAAATCTCATAATCATAGTATGTAGCTGTCACAAACAAAATCCGAATGGTCTTGAGTTTTGCAACTGGCGAATAGGTATCACTATAGTCAATTCCTTCTCTTTGACTATAACCTTTAGCCACTAGCCTAGCTTTGTATGTTTGCACCTTGCCTTCGACATTAATTTTCTTCTTGAAAATCATTTGCATCCAATGGGTCCAACCCCAACAGGCAAGTCAACCAAGTTCCATACTTGATTGATACACTTCGAGTCCATTTTAGATTTTATGGCTTCTCGCCACCTCTATGAATCAACATCTAATATTGCTTCTATGTGGGTCTCAGGTTCATCCGTATCAGGAATCTTAACATCATCATGATCCTCCATGAGGAAGCCAAACCTAGTTAGTTCATGACGAATCCTAGTAGACCCACAAAGTTGAATGTTTTGCGTTTTGTTCAGGCTGTTCATTCTGATAGTGAAGATGTTCTCTTTCATTGGACTATCCCAATGTTCAGAGAGTTTCTGGTGCTTTACTCAGAGAGGGAGAGTTAGGTGCAGAAGGAATGACAACCATGCCATTACTTTCTTCATAAGAATCACCTGCTGGTGCGAAGCGCTTCCTATATTACTCCCACTAGCTGAAGGATATACTCCTAGAGACATTCTTCGACTTAATTCTCCCATTGAATCCTCCGTCAGACCATCTAACAAATCTTCATTCTCTATGTTACTTCATCTTTCAATTTTATCAGTGCACATTTCTTTACATATGTAGGGCAACCCATATTTAATATGTGAAGAAAATGTCTTTTATTATACCACAACTCATATAGTACGTTTTGCACTAATCAAACTATTCAGAATGCATATTGAGATTTATAGTGTGTACCCTAAAAAGAATGTTTGGAAGAGAAAATGAATTCATCATAGATCTAGCCATGTCTAACAAGGCCCTATTTCTCCTTGCAGAACGTCACACTTCTGAGGTGTTCTGGAGGAGTTCATTATGATCGAATTCTTCGATCTTTTAAATAAATCAGAAACTTTACTTAAGTACTCTTTGGCTTGCTATCCTTTTTCCTAGAAAAGGTTTATTAGTCAATTTACTTGAAAGACAAGATTCACAAGTTCCATATGACTCAAAGTCAAAAGGTGTTAAATGGTCTAATTTATTTAGCGTTGCTATTCTTGTTTCATTAATTTGACCAAGTTTGCAATGTCATAGATAGGTAGTAAATTTTCTGATTACTTAATCGAGATCCTTTTATTTTATTCATTTAATATCTAATATGTCGATTGATAATTAACCATTCATAAGAAAAGCATTTCCACAACAACACCATTTTATGAAAATAACAATTATTATTAGCAAAATGGAAATAGAAATCTTTTAATGTCTAACATATGAATGGAAATAATCTTCTTGGTAATAGAAGGAATAAAATAACAATTATTTAATTCTAATCTAAAACCACCGGGCAAATCTAAACTATAAGATCCTATCACGTTCAGCAGCAACTTTTGCTCCAGCCTTCACGCGTAGGTCAATTTTACCCAGTCCAACTGCTACACTGCTTCTCAGGCTTCTGCACATTTTTACAAATGTGTAAGCTATAAGTTGTATCTAATACTTTAACAATGAGAGTTAGTTATAGACATATTTATTTAATGATAAAATTACCTGAGCTTGAAGCACCTGGTGCTTTGGCTAGATTAGTCTTATACAGCTCACAATCTCTCTTCCAATGTCCCTTTTCTTTGCAGTAGAGACAAACATCCTTTGCAACCTTTGGCTTCATATGACCTCCACCTTTAGGCTTCAGAGCTGTAGGAGTAGGTCCAACCTTACCTTTCTTCTTTTGCTTATTCTTGTTCTTAGAACGAGACTTAGCATTAGAGCTTACCATAAGAACAGTCTTTCCTTTAGAGGTTGAGGCTTAATAAGACTTGAGCATGTTATGGAGTTCAGGCATGGTCGCTTTCGTTTTGTTCAAATTATAATTCACAATGAAGTTAGTAAATGAACTCGGAAGCGAATATAGGATGATAGCAGCTGAGACACGATCCTCAAACTTAATTCCGGTGGTAGCAACTCTTTCAATTAAGCCAATCATTTTGAGGACGTGCTCAGACACGTTGTAACACCCCATAATTTCCCGCCCAAAACATTGATATATTTAAAAGAAATACTTTATTCATTCATCAAAGAGTTAAAGAAATACAACGGAAGTCTAAAATAGGGAAATGGGTGTTACCGCCACATTCGGTCATCTCTTAACCGAATGCACATGCAACTCAAAGTAAAACAATAAAAACTAATGTAATAATAAGTAAATGTTTGTTTTATGACTAGATTTAACTAAGGCATCTTCTAATTCGCACTCAAGCTCGAGCAATCCGTCAATCCACATAGGTATCCA